AACTGTTTTCGTTTTCACAAATTAAAAATTCAAATATGTTTGCCATTAGTCCATGTGTAAAACAAACACATCTGTGAACATTGTCAATTGACAAAGAGCAGTTTAAAAACAATATGTATGAGTTTAACCAGTGCATGTTTAAAACAACAGCAACAACAACAACAGGCACTACACAGAACTTCTTTAAAATTAAGATAGTACCAGATGCAGTGGCTCACATCTGAATTCCAGCTGCTTTGGAGGCAGAGATCAGGAGATGCACACATGTCTATGCACACACACACTCATACTCCCTCATATTACTCATACTACTCATACTCCCTCATAGTTCAGAGCCTGGACTGGCAATTCACATACCCTAGAATGATTACTCTTGAGTAATTCAGGTCTGTCTTTAGCTGTGCCTTTAGTCTCCAGTTTAAATTGTAGATTTAATTCAGGTGTTCATCAATGGTCTTCTGTCCTATTCCCCCCCCTTCTCTACCAGCCACCGCCTGAAATGCATGTCACTACCCTGATGAGCAGTGATTTCAGGACTTGTGTGAACTCCTTAACACCACATGTTGTGCCCTTCCTATTCCTCTGCCATTGTTAGCTGCTGCCAATAGGCCCCAACCTTCCCCCCCACTCCCCACTCCGGGACTTCACACTTGCTCCTTTGGACTCACCCAGCTTGTTCCTAATTCCTGCTTACCCTGATCCTCACCAGAAGGCCAAGGCTGCTTGGAGCCTTGTCAGAGTCCTGGGTGCATGTAAGAGCTCAAGCCTGCATTCTGTGGGCACTGGGTCTATTCTTCGTACTTACATAGATCCATTTCCCAGAGCTGTTGGTGGCAATGACCACATACTTTTACATGTGCTTAGAATGTGAAAGAGGCATAAGAACCATCTGCCAAATGTGTAATTAAGCAAGGAAGTACATTGAAGAATTTCTTTCTTCATCAATTAGGGAAGTAGGCACTTAAATGTGAATCAGTTAATCTTTGGAACTGTTGCTTTGGAGAGATGTGTGGGGACCACCTGCTATTCCTTGAGGTGTATGGTCACCCCACCATCTTCCAGGATGTACCCCACATGGAAGCAGAAGAGAAGGAGTGGGAATGCTGATCAGCTCAGACCACTTTCTACTGAGAGCCTTACCTAATCTCCCTGGGCCTCCATTTCTTTATCTAGTGAAAGAAACTAAACTAGATCTCCCCCTGAGAGAGCCATGAGCTAATCAGCGGAAGGTGCCAGAGGAGGAGTCGTTTCATTAGCTACTGAGTGTCCACTGCATGCCTGGCACATTTTCATGAAAAAAGGCATATATATGTATATAATATATATTATATATATACATGTGTATGTATGTGTGTGCCTTTCGTGAGAAGAAAGATGTGATGCACATAGAGTGGTAAGAGTCAAGAAAGAATACAACAGGTGTAAGAGGATGGCATACCAGAGAGTCAGCCCAAGAACTCTTCCTCCCTACTCCTCCAGGATATAGTGACTGGTGAGAGACCTGAGGGAGGGAGTCAGGGGTAAAGGCAGCCAAAGGGCCAGAGCCCCCCTTACCAGCAGAGGGCACTGTGATCCGGTGGCAGGACCCAGCATCAGAAGGCAGGAGGTCCATGGGTACCTAGAGCTCCAGGTACAGATGGACTGAATCATCAACAGCAAGGCTCGGTTCACTAATGTTTCTTGGGCCTTGACTTCTTTTATTTTTTTTCTCTTCTCCTGTACTTAAACAGTATGAAAGCATTTTTTTTAACTGTCCCACCATGCTGTAGCCCAGGGCAAGTCATTTAGTTTCTCTTTGATTCTAGAGGATTGAAACCCTTGGAAAGATTATGTCTTCTTTAATCAATACTCCTATAATTTTTGTCTAAATGTCAAAGTGCTTTGAAATTTTGGAAAGCTGTACAAACATCTGGAATTGCTATTTTTGCTTAGTGATTTCCGTGCTTCTGGCCCTTGAACTTCCATTGAGTTCCATCGAACGTTGTCTCCCCTTTCTAGTGTTCCTGTGCTCAGCACTGGGTATGTCGGCTGCTTGAACGGTCACAAGTTGTGTTGTGTGCTCCTGACAAACCCGGTTACTCAGACGCCTCATGGAAGCTCAGCTTCAGAAAGAGGACTGTATGTAGGCAAAATGTCTGTGGCACAAGAGGTTCATGTTAATGTGGCAAGTCAGTGCAGGCAACCTGACAAGCTTCTGAGGAGTGATCCTGCATGTCAGTGAGTTGGTCATGGAATGATTTAAACCATATAAAACCCTTATCATCAGAAACTCCATCAAAATGCTCTGATACTGTCAAGACTTAGAAATGAGATGTCATATTTCCTTCACTCCAAGCTTTTGTAGCTAGTGTTTGCTATGTCCACTGGGCAGAAATCTGTAAGAATACAAGATGTGTGAAATAAAACGTTGCATTAGTCCTCTATGACATTGAGATGTGCATAATGTCTAAGTTACTGAGTTGTTCACAGAGGTTTTCCTATTTAAGAATCATGAAACTTATTATATATAATCAACTTAAGCTTGGGAAGTTCTTCCTTGTGTCTGGCCCAAATCTTCTATAGTTTGAATACATTTCTTTTCATCTCTGCAAATGGAAAACAGCTGCCAGCCTTTCCGATAACAACCTTTGTGTACTTGAAGATGGTGATTAAGTTTACCCACAGCCTTCTTCCTCCGCTAAGTAATGCCTTCAACCCATCTTCAAAGTTTCCAGATCCCGCCCTCTTAATCATCTCCTGATCTCCTTAAGCTGTTCTACATTCTTCTTTAACTGTGGATTCCAAACATTCTAGGAGTCCTTTGGTGGTCCTGTGTCATTGTCATTCGTATGGGAAATGAACAGTTTTATCAACATCCAGAAAGACAAGCTGTTGTTAGGCTCACATTCTCCCAGTGGACTAGGCCTAGGTTTGTGGATGCAGATGTGCATTTGGGAGGATCAGGCCTGTGGAAGTCAACCTCAAGCTCAGCTCTAAGAAACACGTGCTGCCCTGTGCCACCTCTTCTGGATTCAGCAGCCAGGAATCCGTTTCCAGTGGTTTCCTCTCTAAGTATCCCAGTGGTTTCCAGTATTTTAGGTTTCCTGTGTTTTGCTGCTGTTTCTATGTCTAAATCAAGGCATGTGCAATGATAATGATATGCCTTAGAGTCTCTCTTTGTCTTCATAGATAGTTTGCTTTGGAATAGCCAGATAGGGGATAGGGGGCGTGGTTTTCTGTGTCTTCTCTCATTGAAACCATGGAGCAGAGAAGCTCTCAAAAAGAGAGCACAGAAAGTTAAGAGAGCTGTGTTGTGTCATTGAAACAGTGATGATCATATACCATCTTCATTGCTTGAGGCTTTGATTGATTCATTGATACCACCTCTGTCCTCTTTCTCCTCTGTTTCCCCTAAAGCCCTGTGTTTCTTGGAAACTAGGGGATGTTTGGTCACCACTGTCAGTTAAGGCACAGGCGAGTCTGACCAGAGCGTTCCATTGCTCACTTCCACAGGCTTCTCCTGCTGAAGCAAAACCCAGCTCATTCTCCAGTCAGCCCTGCAGCATCCGGGGGCATGGCGTTGGCATGGCCAGCACATGACCTCGGACAAGCGCAGGCAGGAGGGCCGCATCCCTCAATGGCATGACTAGATATGTGGGGTCAGCTTGGAATGTGTGATCAGAAGTGTGCTGATAAGTGATCTGAAATCCTTATGACATTCCTCTTTCTAGATATAGGGCTGTGAAACAATGGCTCCAGGGTAGAAATTACCTTGGTACTTTTAAAATATATAATTTTATTGTTATTAGTAAGGTTTTATAGAGAGGGGTTACCATTCCATAAACCAGGTAATGAATTGATTTCTTTCCCTTCCTTTGCTCTCTCCCAGTTTCCTCTTCCATCCTTGCCCACAAGTTACATAGTTCATTTTCCACACAGTATATACTAAATACCATGACTACGTTTGTTCACACTTCTCCCTCCCTTTCTGTGCCCCTTCTGCCCCCCAAAAGAAAAAAACTAAAATTGAAAACAACAATAACAGAAAAATACATGTTTCCATTTCCTGGGATTCCTTTCAATAAATAGTATTTTAAATGATCAGGAGATGCCTTAGGGTTCCTCCCTTAAAAGTATCCTCCTTTGTGGGCTTGGAAGGTGGCTCAGTGGTAGAGCGCTTGCCTTGCATGCATGAGGCCCTGGGTTCAATTCCTCAGCACCACATAAGCAAAAAGAAAAAAGCTGGAAGTGGCGCTGTGGCTCAAGTGGTAGAGCGCTAGCCTTTAGCTGAAGAGCTGAGGGACAGCGCTCAGGCCCAGAGTTCAAGCCCCACGACCGGACCCCCCCCCCAAAAAAAAGTGTCCTCCTTTAGTCTGGTTTTTGTGTGAATGCCTAGAATCCTGTATAAGTTATCATGTACAGATACATTTTAGGTCTAGTTTCCACGTGAGAGAAGCATGTACCATTTGTCTCTTTGAGCTGTTCCAGTCCATCCATTTCCCTGTAAATGACATAATGTTAGTCTTTCTAGTGGATGGATAAAAGTCCATTGTGTATATGTGACATATCTATCTACTTTTAATGAGAAGTAATATATATTGTAATTACCACCAAATTTTGTGGATACTTAGAACTCCAAGTTTGGGATAACTGATCACTGGAATCATTGTGAATTAGACTGAATCACAGCATGGCTACATTTCACACTAAGATATGGTTTTGGAAGTGCCAACTGTGTGCTTGACTTGTAGAACTTCCTGTAGTCCATTTGCAGCTTCCTAGTCTTTCAATGCCAGGGTTATTCTTGATTCCATTCTGATTAGTCAGCAGGATATTAGGTACAATTAAAAGATACTGTATAGGGCACTTAAAATTCTTTTCCTTCTTTAATGAGATGTAGAATTCCAGATCTTGCTACAGTGTATTCTTGTGGCCCTGAGCAGTCCTTGTGACCCTGGGTATGGTGCTATGGGTAGACAAGAGAAATAATGCTACATTAACTTTGTGTCTCTTTTGTCTAGTCTAACAGGCAGCCAGCTAAGTTGAACCTTCTCACCTGCCAGGTGAAACCAAATGCTGAGGACAAGAAGTCTTTTGACCTCATATCACGTGAGTCCTTCCTGCCTGCCTGCCTCCCTCCTACCCTCCCACCCTTCCTCCCACCCTTCTTCCCTCCCTCCCTCCCTCCCTCCCTTCCTTCCTTCCTTCCTTCCCTCCCTCCCTTCTTTCTTCCTTCCTTTTTCTGGGGTTGGTGTATGTGTGTTGGGTGCCAGTTTGTGCCCTAGCACTGTCCCTGAGGTTTTGGCTGAAAGCTAGCTCTCTACCACTGGAGCCATTCACTTTCAGGGGCTCATTGGTGATAAGAGTCTCACAGACTTTCCTTCCCGGGTCTGGCTTTGAACCATAATCCTCAGAGCTCAGCCTCCCAAGTGGCTAGGATTATAGGCATGAGCTACTGGCACTTGGCCATGTGAGTTCTTTTTAAAAGTACTCTGAGTTGGTTAGTGTGGGTTCTAAGACCACATTTCTCTTTGCTGCAGATTAAAGCAGCAGTAGCTCCCAAGCAGACCCCCTCCTTGTCCTCCATACAACTTCTGGTTATTTCTGCATGTGCAGCTCTAGGAAGACCCCTGAAGTTTCCTTTTCTTGTTTGTTTGCTTTTTGTTTTTAGACTAGATCCTACTGTGTTGCCCAGTATAGTGTCAAATTCATGAGGTCAAAGTGGTCTTCCTGTCTCAGCTTCATGAGTAACCGAGCCTCTGGGTGAGCACCCCCTCACCCAGCTTCTTTGGGTCTCAAGTGTGCTGAGCCCATGTGTAGCCAGGGAGACCTGACAGTGTCAGATCTGGCATTATTGTTAGCGGTACTTGAGGTTTTTTAGCACAAGGCCTTGTGCTTGCTAGGCAGGTACTCTGGTATGCGGTGTTTTGACATACATGTCGTCTCTGTCTTGGGAAGGTGAGGGTCTTAGAAAGAGTCACATAGGAAGCGCTAAGTAACTGTGACTTCTCCTGTCTATGTTGAAGTCATCTTGCAAATCTTGAATTTTAAGAAGGAACTTCACTGGGGTTGGAGGCATGGCTCAGTTGGTAGAATGCTAGCCAGGGAGTGAAAGCATCAGGTACCAAGCTCCAATCCCGCTCTTCCGACAGAAAAAAAAAAAAGAAAGAAAAGAAAAGAAAGAACTTCCTTGTGGACACAGACCTTCCCTGCTTCCTCCCTCCTGTACTTGGTGACAAAGGTTGAGCCTTTCTTCCTTAGAACCTGGTTCAACCAGAGAGCAGCCTCGCATGGGGGATAGGGGCAGAGCTAACCTGCATGTAGATTCTCAGGGTCAGAGAAATGGAGGCCCATTGATGGCTGGTAAGGAGACTCTGACATGCTCAATGACGTGCACCACTGAGCCTCTTCCCCTCTTATCTTGTGGATCTGAAGAGGTGCTTAAGATGTGCTCAGCAGTTGTGGTATTTTATTATATTCCTGTTGTACTTAAAAAAAATTACTGATAGCAAATTGTTTTCCTGCTGAAACACAGTGATATAAAAACAAAATGATATTAAATTGCTACTTTTACTGCATGTGTTTTTGGTTTTTCAGGAACTTAAAAATCTGCATTATCCTGAAGGTTCACTTTGTTTTCTCTTTGGTATTTCAGATAATAGGACATATCACTTTCAGGCAGAAGATGAGCAAGATTATGTAGCGTAAGTAGTTTTGAAATAATAGCACAATGACAAATTGAAAGAACTGCTCTGAGTGCCATTCAGTCTCCTTTTCTACTCTGGACCTTACCACTCCACTTCTGCTGGTGTCTCCTGCAAGCTGGGCTTCAGCCTGGGCACCCCCAGGCTCCGGCTTCCTCTTGCTGTCCACGGCCCCTACACACCATCCTGCACTCCTCTAGTGTACATCCTCAGCCCTCTTGAGACGGATGCTTTATGCATCTTTTAGTCATACCACCTGTACTGAGAAGGGGCCTGCTTGCTCCGTGCTTCTTGCCTGATGCATAAGCCTGTCTACCAGATGCCCGACTATTCCCCTGAGAGGGGCAGAGGAGCCTGGCCAGGTGCCACATAGGTAAAGGGAGCGTCACACAGTGGGAGGGAGCTTGAGGTCACCAAGTACTTGGTCTCCATCCTGCGCCATCTTTATTCCTCTTCTTTCCTGTAGCTCAGTGACCTGCCATGACTGCCAAATACAGTGTATTGCTATTAGCTTCTCAGCTGCTTACATGGGTGTAAGAGCAGCAACTTAAGCCTTTTGTTGTTGGTTTATTTTGTTGTGTTTCAGAACTGGGGTTTGAACTCAGCACCTTGCACTCATACTTTGCCTTTATTGCTCAAGGCTAGTAGTCTATCATTTGAGCCACTGCCCCACTACTGCTCTTTGCTGGTTAATTGGCAATAAGAGTCTCTTGGACTTTATTGCGCTGGCTGATTTTGTACTATAATTCTCAGATCTCTGCCTCCTGTGTAGCTAGGAATACAGGCATGTACCACCAGCACCCAGCCCACGTTTTTCTAACAAGTTCTTGGAGTAATTTGGATCAAACTTCATCAACATTAATAATTATTCCTTCACTAATTACATCCAGAGCACTGCAGGTGATGTTCACACCCATTTTTCCTCACAATCTATCTTCCTTTCTTCTCTCCTTCACGTACGCGCACATACACACTTCTCTTGAATGTTACACCAAGGAGACAGAAGAATAGGAAATGGATAGAAAGTATGAAGCACTGGGAAAATGGCAAAGAAGAAAATGGCTACGAAAAGAAAAAAAGAAGGAAGAACAAGATCCATCTATCAGATCCTCCACTGGCATGAGCACCACATAGCCAGTAGCGCTGCGGGCACTGAAGTGTAGACTGAGTGGAGCCCTGCTCTGAAGGAGCAGCCACGCTAGGAGCGAGGAGGCTGTGCTGGGACAGCCCACACTCAGATCAAACGCTCTGCTGGGTTCTCGGATCTGTTGCTCAAAAGTGACCTTCTAGTGCATGGTAGGCCTGAGCTGGCTCCAGAAAGCTGTAAATACTCTGAGATCCTAGTATGGAGGAGCCACAGGACTACTCCATATAACTAATGCAGAGTTGACAGACTGGGTGACGACCAAGAACCAAGTAGGAAAGGAAGATGGTGAAAGACTGCCTTCCAGATTCTCAGATAGGTGATACTTACTGAGATGAGACCGTGTTAAGTGTATATCTTCTGCCTTATTAGTCCTCACAGGAGAGGACTAATGCCCCTATGTCTACCTGTGGAAACAGGCACATTGTGCCCATCTTCAGACAAGTTCCTGATTAGCTAAGTTTTAACCCGGACCATTCCATAACCACATTGAAATATTGCTTCCCATGTCTGATTCTACTCTTTCCTCTTTCCATTTCTGCAAAGCTCTGAATTGAAGACAAGTGGGAGATGTATGAAGTAGAGGGCAGATGCACTTCATCTTTGTTCCCTTTTGTCTCAAACCAAGGCCTTCAGTATCTTATTTATTTTTGCGATTTATGGGTAATTCTATACCAGTTTTGTTAAATAATGGTTTGCCTGTGAGTTGTGATGTTCTCTGGGCTAGGGCTGCTGAGTCCGTAGGGGAAATTTTGCACGTTTTCTACTTTGGATCTCTTTGGGTACCAGGAGGGAAGCCCCAGGTTTTTTTTTTTTTGGCCTCCAGATTTACATAGAGGGCATCATTGAGTTCCCTAACCATGGGAAAATGTCCAGTGAAATTAAATGAGGAAATCCCTTCTCGCAGAATCAAAAGGCAGGTACAAAAAGAGCAGATGCATGTTTGAAGGTCAGTGATGTGGCTTCTAGGAGAAGCTCTGCCCACCCAGGGCTTCTGTCCTTCAGGAAGAATGTTGTATCAGTATGCAGCTGAGTGGATGGGAATTACAGATCTAACTTGCCAAACTCTGAAAGTGAGAATAAAATGTAGGAAGTCCCTAACACAGCAGCAGTTTATTCTTTTTTTTTCTTTTTCTTTTAATTGTTCTGGCGTAGCAGCAGTTTATTCTTTTGCCTTGTAGAAACTCTAACCAACTTTCCAAGTATGGTAATAAAATTATGCACTATATTGTTTTTTATACTTTGTGGTATGCATGTTACTTTAAAAGAACTTGAATTTTTTAATTTTTTTTTTGCCAGTCATGGGCCTTGAACTCTGGGCCTGGGCGCTGTCCCTCAGCTCTTCAGCTCAAGGGTTTTCTGATTTTCACAACAAATTTCATTTTTTAAAAAATCATGAGCCCTGGGATAAAGAAGCAAGTATATAATGAAAGGAACTCTGAAAAGGAAGTCAGCAAACGTAGCTTTTCCTCCCAGCCAGACTCAGTACAGCTGGGTTAGACCCAGAACCTTCCTGGAAGATACCAGTCTGTATGACTAATAACCAAAATAATGCTTGAGGAAAGCATACAATTCCTAGTTTTTAGTTTGAAATAAAATAATAATTTTAAAGGTTGTATTATTTAAAACGTATTCACTGATAGACCCATGCCCAACCTGTTGTAAAAAAGTCAAGCTGGCAAATCTCATAGATCGCTGAAGGTGAGCGCCACCTAGAGTCAAAGGTGTGCCATGCACTTACATATTGTAAGCAGTCTGGTTTGGCTTTAAATTCTCATACAGTTTCTGTCACTTCTTCAAACACTCACTGTAGAAAGTGCTTTGCTTAATAGCCATCATAGTATCTGGCCTATCGCATACCAAAGAAACAGCACTCCGTTCTGAGTCTCACTGTTTCCACTTGAGAGCAAGTGTCCATTAAGAACATAAAAGCAATGGCTTGCCATGGTTTTCATTTTCTTTCCAAAAACTAAATTTGGATTTTTTTCCTCATTCATGAAAATAATACAGATTCTTAGATTTGGAGAATTACAGAAAGGCATGAAATTAAGCTGTCCTCCATTAGTTTCTTCTTAAAGAGAATCAAAGACAAACCATACCGACACTTTGTTGAAACTTCTTCCAGCCTTTCTCTCCCAAACATAAATACCTAATGTACACATATCTTTAAACTTGAAATTATATCATGAAACATGTTTTTCCCTGTTTTAATTAAACATGAGCATTTCTCTGTCATCAAAAATTATTTGAAACTTAAAAACTGTTCTATTTTATTATTATTTTATCAGTGTTTTGCCACGTTCAAGTGGCTCACACCTATAATCCTAGGACTTAGGAGGCTAAGATCTGAGAATCATGGTTTAAAACCAGCCTAGGCAGGAAATTCTATGAGACTCTGATCTCCAGTTAATCACCAAAAATCCAGAAGTGGAGGTGTGGCTCAAGTGGTAGAGGGCTGGCCTGGAGCCTCAAGACTTGCACACGTGCACACACAATATAATAATGCCCTATTGGGGCTGGGAAGTTGGCTCAGTGGTAGAGCGCTTGCCTTGCATGCCTGAGGCCCTGGGTTCGATTCCTCAGCAACACATAAGCAAAAAGAAAAAAGCCAGAAGTGGTGCTGTGGCTCAAGTGGTAGGGCACTAGCCTTGAGCTGAAGAGCTGAGGGACAGCGCTAAGGCCCAGAGTTCAGGCCCCACAACCGGACCAAAAAAAAAAATAATGCCCTATTGTTGAGTGTTTGGTTTTATGCATAGCTTTGTAGCAAAGGGGTATTATATTAGTATATGGTGGACTTACCTGTAATCAAATAAACTGCATTCTTTGTATTCTAAATGTCAGTATGTTTCCAAGTTATTTTGCCTTTTTACAACCATACATTTTTATGGCTGCTGCTAATGAAGTAACCCTTCATTTCCACTGTTAAATATTCCTGTAGACATGGACTTCTAGGGAAGAGATGCCTTTTGCTGCATTCCTATATCTATTTCTCACTTTTCTATCTTATGGTTACATTGGGTTCATCCCTTTCTAGCCTTCTCCTCTCTAGCTTTCCCTTTATTCTGTTCACATGGGAAGATAAACATGTGGATATTCATGTAATTCCTGTCTTACATTGGCTTTTTCTCATCTAGTCCAGTATCTAATGTTTTTCTTATGTGTTGCTTTGGATTTCTCTTTGCATGTATGTGCATTTGTGTGTAGTGAGGATTGAACCTAGTACCTTGTTGCTAGGCACACATTCTTTATCTTGTCCCATCAAATTTAGTCTCTCCATTTTCCTCACTTTATTGCTCTTTTTTGCAGTGGGGATAGAAAAGAATGGCCAGTCCTTTCTGAAGGCCTTCTCTGATGTTTTGATCACAGATGGATATCAGTATTGACAAACAGCAAAGAAGAGGCTCTAACCATGGCCTTTCGTGGTGAGCAGAGCACAGGGGAGAACAGCTTGGAAGACTTGACAAAAGCCATCATTGAAGATGTCCAGCGGCTCCCTGGGAATGACGTGTGCTGTGACTGTGGCTCATCAGGTATCCTTCCCCTACTTGAAATGGCTTCTGAGGTCCTCTTTTCCTATAATTACTTAAAGCCTTATCTCCTATGGACGTGCACACAATGTGTATTCCCAATATCAATATTCCCTGAGCTGCTCTTACTTACACTGTTCTCTCTACCTGGAAAGCTCCTATGTATCCTCCAAAGTGATTACCTGCCTCAGTGCTCCCTTTCCTACTGTGTTCAGTTAAATAAAAATCATAGACATAAGGGGGAAAGCATAGGACTTGGTGTCCATATTTTAAATCATAAGTCTGCTATTCAGCAGAATTGTCTCATACTGAGCTCTTCTCTATTGTAGTCCGCAGATACTAATACACCTCCATTGTAAGTACTTGATAAAATAATAGGGGCTAGGGACTGGTTGGGATGTGACACAAACTCTTCTTCCTTCCTGCTTCCATAGAGGTGTCTCCTTCCCATGGATTTCTTTTATTACCGATACATTACCAACTGCTGACACTTACGGTTTGTGCCAAGGAATGTGCTAGATGTTTTATTTATATGATTATGTTATATCGTCATAGAAGCTTTGTGAGCAAGATACTAATCTCCTCATTCATTAGATGAGAAGTTTTTTGTTTAAGATCATGCAACTGGGGGGTGAACACTGCTACAAAATCTGATGTTCTTTATTTTTGTTTGTTTTGTGTTTTGAACTTTTTATGATGCTTAGAGATGGAACCCCAGCTCCTTATTGACGTTACGCAAGCACTCTACCACTAGGTTAATTCCCCAGCCTAAAGCTGGCGTTAGGATATGTTTATTGTTCTACTTACTGGGCTTTACCACACAGGATGTCATAGCACCTCAGAAAAAGAGTCTCAGGTTGACTGTCATGTAAACCTAAGTGCTTTAAGACAATGGCAGAGGAATAGTAAATACTGAGGTGCTAGCCAATCAAAAGGAAAGAAATGACATTTTAGTGACATAGAAATAATTGTGCCCACAGTTCTGGAGGAATCTTTTGGTCATAAGGCACTGGAAAACATTGAAAGTTCAGTATTTATGGCTGTCTTATTGCCAAGAGGAATGTAAGGAGAAGAATGGTGGGTAAAGCTAGTTGCAACTAGACTAATGACAGCTTCAGAATCTAGGCCGCAGTTGCAGGATTTAGGGCCTTCACCTCCCTTATTCAGGGATGGTAGTGGCATTAAGGGAACCTTCCCACAAATCTTGAGGACATTGCATAGGATCTCCTAGGAAACAGGTTTCTCAAATAAGCTACAAGGATTAAGGCTTGATTGTGTTTTTAAATAAATGTGGAAGAGAAACTTTTATATTAATCCCTAGGCTAAACAACAAGCATCTATGTCTTCAATTTAAATTTTTCCCTCTTAATAATTCTTACCAGGTCTTACTACTATTTTAGTTTTCTTGATATTTGGCATACAAAGTTACCTATCTTGTTTGTTTTCATTAAATCTTTTCTACAGAACCCACATGGCTTTCAACCAACTTGGGTATTTTAACATGTATAGAATGTTCTGGAATCCATAGGGAAATGGGTGTTCACATTTCTCGAATTCAGTCTTTGGAACTAGACAAATTAGGAACTTCTGAACTCTTGGTAAGTCTTGGCTTGTACTTTGGAAGAGAACTTTCATTGTCCTGAATATAATTAAAATATTACTTTGTGGTCTTTGTTTGTGTTCAGTACAAAGAATGCTTATTCCTAAATTGTATGTATTTGCTTAGATGTTTAAAACTTAACTTGTGTGATGTGTAAGACTTACTGTTTTCTATTTCCTATTTGAAGAAATGGTGACTCACGCAACTTTTCTTTGGGGATGGACTTCTTCCAAGCTGCTTTTTTACTTTAGGAAGAGGTTTCTTTTGTGATTCACTGTAATGGCAATTATAATCACATGTTTCCATTACCACCTACTGGCTAATGATTGAAAAGTTTTTCCCAGTTTTGTTTCTGCTTGTATGTTAATAAAGTACCCATGAATTGAAAATGGCCTATTCCGTACTGTCACAAAAGTAGTTACTTTTGAAACCATAACTACTTCCAGTAGTGAAGAAATAAAGTGTATGTGGAGTTGTCTTGCTTAGTGTTATGCGAAAAAGGCATGACTAGTTAAACTTGTTTTCTTGAACCATTTCTCCACACACACCCATCATGATTCACCCAAACTTGAAGTCCTCATAAGGTCCAAACTAAATTGGTCCTGATCAAAGGCCCACTTAGCATCCTCATCATTTACAGGACTATAAGAGTGAGATTTGTTAAGGGAAGTGGAACTCCTCCTTGAGCAGAATCCGAATGAAATGGAACTCAGATAAACTGGAAACCTAGCATATCACTAACCTCTGCCAAAGAAAAAGCTAGGGCAGTTAGCCACCCAGCTGCAGGCTTTGCCATCTGTGCATCCACTGAACAGTGATGTGGCTTGTGTTGTATGAGCCTTCTCACTTGTGAAGGAGGGAATTATGCTGGTACTTAGCTCTTCATTTCACTTTAGCATTTCAGAGGAAGACTCAGGCCTAATTCCTGAAACACATTTTCCCTTAGTATAGGACTAGTGCCATACCATCTCTTTGACCTGTGAAAATGAGACCCAATTGACATCTAAACATAGGAAAATAAAGTGCTAAACATTTGCTGCAAAATAGACCCAAGATTTGGGCTGGGAAGGTGCTTCAGTGGCAGAGTGTTTGCCTTGCATGCATGAGGCCCTGGGTTTGATTCCTTAGCACCACATAAGCAGAAAAAGCCGAAAGTGGTACTCTAGCTCAAGTGGTAGAGCGCTAACCTTGAGCTGAAGAGCTGAGGGACAATGCCCAGGCCCAGAGTTCAGGCCCCACGGCCGACAAAAATAAATAAATAAAAAAAATAGATCCAAGATTCTTCACCCAAATACCCACTTGCATGAGTATTCCTTAACATTTTGCATTACTGTTAGAACTGTATGTGATAAAGATCTTGAGCCCAGAAGCAAAATGCTTCTTGGCTCTTCTTCTCTTGCTACCCCTAGCATCTTACCATGTGCCAAATAAGTAATCCTACTTTCTCCCCTGGTCAATATTAAATGAAAGTATATGGCTGAGTAGCAAAGCTGTTGCTGTTCATGTCCATTGAGAATTTATATTAGACTAACATGGAGCCTGCTCTTTTTGCTCTCTGATTGTTCGTATGTCTATAAGTCCAGCTCCTTGTTGCTTCTGGCATTTATCACATATTTATAGACATTATTTCTTGTCATTGGCCTGATCCCACTAGACTCTGGCTGAGTCCCTATGGGAAGGGAACATGGTTTACCATTCCTAAAAGTTCAATACCTAGCACATAATGAATACTCAGTAAATTTTGATTGAACAGATAGACAGATGAGGGAAAATATAATCCCCAAATTCTCAAAAGCAAAATAATAGGAAAGTTTTAACTGTAGTAACAAGCTTACCATAGTGTGTTTTGTTTCTGTTACAGCTGGCCAAGAATGTAGGAAACAATAGTTTTAATGATATTATGGAAGCAAATTTACCCAGCCCTTCACCAAAACCCACTCCTTCGAGTGATATGTAAGTACTTCTAATATATTGAATACTTGACCCACTCCATAATTGTTTTTCTATCTTCCCCAGAATCTTAGTGGTTATATTTCTCCTATCTTCAGGGAAAAGCAAAGTGTTTTGAATGTGTTTCTTGGACACAATTCTTTTTCTTTTTAATTTTCTCTCTTTTATTTTTTATATGTTTTTATTGTGAAAATACTGTACAGAGGGGTTACAATTACATGAGTAAGGTAATGAGTGTGTTTCCTATGAAGCACTGTTGCCTCCTCCTTTGTTTTTCCCCTACCATCCCTTCCTTCTCCACCTCCCCAACTACTCTCCCCCACCCCTGCCAAAGTTTTAAAGTATGTTTTCAACATATTATCTTGTACATCTCATTGTTACAATGGGTCAACCTGTATCCCTATTTAAGCATTTTGTTTTTTCCCTTCCCCTCCCCAAATTAGAAAAGTGTATATACAAGATGCAGGTCACCAGAATCAAATACAAAGAAACAAAAAAAATCACATAGTAATTATAAATATGTTCAAAACAATAGCAAACAAGAGAAAAACATTCTTGGGACACAAATTCTTTCTTTCTTTTTTTTTTTTTGGGGGGGGGTCCAGTCATGGGGCCTGAACTCTGGGCCTGGGCACTGTCCCTCAGCAATTCAGCTCAAGGCTAGCGCTCTACTACTTGAGCCATAGCGCCACTTCCGGCTTTTTTCTTTTTGCTTATGTGGTGCTGAGGAATCGAACCCAGGGCCTCAGGCATGCAAGACAAGTGCTCTACCACTGAGCCACCTTCCCAGCCCCACAAATTCTTTTCATCAGCACCTTCCTTAGGTGGTTGCAGGCAAGTGCCTCCTCTGTGGAGCACAGATCTTCAAGAGGACATGGCAAGTTGTGACAAATAATACAATACAAAGACAGTGGTAGACTCTCAGTAAATTGGAGAAATTCCAAATGCTCAACAACCCACTCAACAAGGCTCTGAGGAAACAGATATCCTGCCCAATATTTTGCCAGTAAGAATACAAAGACAAATTAGCCATACTTACCAAAACTATAAATGTATTACCACTATTATCTTGCCCATGTAATTGTAACCCCTCTGTACAGTATTGTCACTATAAAAAAAATGTATTAACTCTTTAAGTTGGTTATCTCACTTCTAGGGATTCATTCCTATTTTATGATAGAAAAAGATTAAGAAATAAAGCAAGTGACTATTGACAGGCATCTGAGTAAGTAGTTTATAGTATAGCCAAACAGTAGAATGCTATATAGATATGAGAAAGAACAAACTTTCCAATGTTTTCATTTGAGATGATTTCCAGGGTTATTATTTAAAAAAAAAAAAGACAAGGTGAAGAAAATAGATTGCTTTGGGGAAGAGAAGTATTAAGTATGGAGAAATATGCTTATTCCTTGATCCAGACTCAGAAACTTAATTTTGCCTAAATTTGATGATAAACCTTTCCTTGACAAGCCAGGAGCTAATGCTTACACCTGTAATCCTTGCTACTCAGGAGGCTGAGATCTGAGGATTGCAGTTTGAAGCCAGCCCAGGCAGCAAAGTCCCCAAGAGAATTTTATCTCCAATTAACTAATCAAAAAATCTGAAAGTGGTGCTGTGGCTCAAAGTTGTAGAAAGCTTGTCTTTAGTAAAAGAGCTTAGAGACAGCATACAGGTCCTGAGTTCAAGCCCCATGACTGACCCAAAAAAAAAAAAAGCCCCTTTCCTTGAACTCTCACTTCCTAGACTTAGAAGGCAAATAGATTTAGATAGGACTGGGATGTGGCTCAAGTGGTGAAGCATTCGCCTACCAAGTCCAAGGCCCTGTATTCAATATCAAATACTACCATATAGATTTGAGATAGTACAGAATGCTTAAGCATATATGGGTTAGTTAGTTTCACATTGCTGTGACAAAATATGTAAACAACTTAAAAGAGAAGAGAACTTTTTGGTTTTACAGTTTCACTCTAGAGTTAGCCACCTCCACCACCATGAGCCTGAGTCAACATACCAGGTATCAGAGTTTAGTGAAGGAAAGCTGTGTACCTCATGGCAGCCAGGAAACAGAGCAGGAAAAGTCAGGGACAAGATGTATGCCATTCAAAGACATACCTCCCTGTGACCCACTTCCTCCAATCAGATCCCACTTCCTGATAGTACTTTCACCATGAACCCATCAGTGGCTTAGTCCATGATGGAATCAGTCACCCATCAATAGCACTAATACCTGGAGACCAGGCCTTTGAGTCTATATATGGGAACATTTTACATCCAAACTATTCTGTCCCTGGCCACCAAAGTCTTGGCCATTCATGGCCCTTCAACTTCACCCACATGACTTCAGAAAGCATTATCTTAACCCTCTCAGGAGCTTCCTGTAGGAGCTCCAATCCTCCCATACATTGCCTGACCTCTCAGCCTTCCTTTGAAATCTGGGTAGAATCCTCCATGACCCTACATAAGCACTTGGATTCTGCATGCCTGCAAAACTAGCATCACATGACTGAATCCTAAGTCCACTAATTACCTAAAAAGTAACCAGTCCTGCTTGGACTAAAGCTGCAGTATTGATGGATAGCTAAGTGCAGGGACACACTTTTCCTACAATGCCTGTGTGAGCAGGATACCCAGAACCAGTCCTCTATTCTCAAAGCAACCTCTTACAAGTCCATTTTACCTTCAGATCCCAGAACCTTTGATGGGAGGGGCCTGATCAATCCCTGAGAGAACCCCAAGTTCTCTTTCCACTTATCCTGATGAAAAGTACTTGGTTTTTTTTAATGTCACTAATCTCTTCAAGAACCACACCTTTACCACATCTTTCAATACTTTTCCTTTCTGGCCAAATTACAAGGTTTTTAAGTCCTTATGATCTCCTTTTTACTACCAGTTCTAAATGTAAACCTGGCAATATTCATGCCACCTGCTCACTGCTGTACTGCCTAGAAATTTCCTCTAGATAAACTAGTTCATAACCTTTAAATTCAGCTCACACAAAGTCTTAGGATATGGACGAAATGTAGACAAGTGTAATATGAGTGGCCTCTGGCCCAATTCCCAGCAGATTCCTCATTCCCATCTGAAACTTTATGAGCGCAATCTTTACTCTCTGCATTCTTATTGTCATTCCGGTCATCTGAGATCGCACCAGAATTGCCCACTCAGCTCTGCTTATATAGCATTAGCTTTTTCTAGCCTACTTCTCCAGACTTTCCCAAATTCCACCCTCAAGACAGTTCAAAAGGCTTCTGAACCATAGTCAGGAATGGTCAGTAGATTTTCTGTGCTAATCACCTTTCCATTACTGTCACAGAGTGCTTAGGAAAACAAATTAGGGGTCACAGTTTCACAGATTTCAGCCCAAGTTTTCTTAAACCCTTATTTTGGCCTGTGCCGGGATAGAAAACCATCATTATAGAAGGACATAGAGGAGCAAAGCACTTCTCCTTGTGGTAGGTGGGAGGTACAGAGAAAGAAGGAGGCCATGGGCCAGATAAATCCATCACAGATAAGCCCCCCCCCATTGTGACCCACTTACTTCAACCAGGTCCACCTCTTGATAGTTCATTCCTCTATGAACCATCAGTGGATTAGTCCCTCAGTAAGGTTAACACCCTCGTAATCTCACCCCTCAACAATGCCACTAGCAGAGGAACAAGCCTGCGACACACAGGCCTGTAGAGACAATATACTTGGAGGTATCACTTTAATTTTTGAGCAGTATAAATGGATTAATCTCTCATCCAAGTACTACTAGGACCCAGCAAGTCTGTCACTCTATTCATAGCTTTTTTAGTTGAATTAAATGTTGAGGGGGTGCTAGGGAGTAAACCCAGAGCCGCACACACACATGCTAAACACACATTTCAGTGCTGAGCTAAGCTCCCAGCCCTTGCAGTTCAAACTTGGTTTAAGTGGTATGGATAAATCAGAGATTAATTCTAACTCAAGTGGTCAAGAAAGGCTTTGTGAAAGAAGAAATCTGAAGACAAAAGTAAATTCCTTGTCAAAGTATACAGCAGTTTGAGAACTGTGGCTTCCTTTTTGTATGTTTAGAACCAAGACTCACCAAGCATCTTCAGTTAGGCTATTAGAAGACATATTCTGTACCTGAAATTTCTTTCTCTTCTAACTGAATAATGGCTTCTGGAGAAGGCAAAGAGAATAAAAAGTGATCTTTATAGTGCATCTGAAACACAGTTTAAGGGAATTCTGGTCTTCCCTCCTCCCCATTTCCCCCAATTGACAGATCTGATTTTACCCTGATATCCACAACTTACAGTTACCCCTGGCCCCATTTCAGGGGCCAGGCATATTCTAGTTGATTTAGAATTGGAATGATAGAAGATCCAGTCTCAGACCCCATCTGTTCTTTGATTTTTTTTTTAATTTTTTGTCTTTTGGATTCCTCTTCGAACTCTTGATTATCTATTCACAAGCTTCCAATCTACGTGTATGACCTAAGTCAGGTAAATACTCTGGTTTACTTCTTTAAGATTTTTTTATGTAGGCAGTCTGTTACACACTGTGGTTTCAGATGTACAATAACTTGTACAATGATTTATTCCTAAGTATGCCGTAAGCAGAACAATGTCTTTTTTCCTATATTGTCCCTTGCCTTAATAAATATGTAATATAAATTTAAGCAAACTTCTATTTTTTATATTTGTAAAGTATGAACTAAAAAATGAACATTTTGTGAAGCTTGTATTTTGCATAACCAAAGTAAGAAATTAAGTTTTAAATCTATAATATTTTATCTGGGGAAAAAAGGGAAGTCTGTGGAGGAGATAGCAGCCTAAATGTTTTGCCAGACCCTCCTTAGCTACCAAATTTGCAAAAATACTGAAATTATTATAAGGCATATTTAGTCTGATGTTAGGAAATCTAGTTTCCCAAAAGAGCCCACACATCACTCTTTGTTCCTAGCCGTAATTTTTGTTTCTCTGGAAAGTAGGTATGGTTATTAATACTTCAAAGAAGATAAAACTCCATTCAGTCTTTTTAGTAGCTGTTTTATATAACTGGGCCGTTCAAGGGGTGGGTTTTCAGGTACAACAGTATCTAGAATGTCAGTACCATCTGGACCCCATTTCTCTCTCCCTGTCTTTCTGTCATTTTCTCTGAGCTGACTTCCATTTTCATCTTTCCCAAAAGGTAACAGAGTAAGTACTGGACTACTTTGGTTCTGTTCTCACCCTTATGGCTGAGAGGTAGACTCAAATCTCCCCAAGACCTCTTGAGCTGAGATAGAGGGTGGCCCTGTACAAAAACATGCTGCTCAGAGCCTGGTGCCCACTGAAGCCTCCTGCTCCCCATCACAAGCTTCTGCAGGGAGGAACTTGTCTCATCCTTGGGGAACTACTGTCGGCTTGTTCTCATGGCAGCCTTCCTCAGCCTCAGGCCACTCACTGATGAATCAAGAGTTCTATTATAAGACTAAAACGCTTTCCATGGGGCTCTGAAAACTTTTATTTGCATCTACATTTCTAAATGTCTTTATTTATTTCTGTGTTTCTGAGTTTGAAGTCTTAAGAGCAAATTTCTCAGGCTGTTGATCAAGGTGAAAAAGAAATCTATGATCTATTTGCCCATTCTGTCACTGTGTATTACCTGCATGCACCAATAAATATTTCTTTAGTTTCTTTAGGTTGCCTTTATTGGAGTAACTTGGTCTAAAATCTAGCTTGTTTGAGAAGCATGTTCATTAAAAGAATTCCTGGACAAAAAAGTATATATATATATATATATATATATATATATATATATATATATATATATTTCTTGGCTCTTGGAAAACGATTCTCTGGTGGTTTTGTTTTGTTTTCTGTTTTAGGACCATACGGAAAGAGTATATCACTGCGAAGTATGTAGACCATAGGTTCTCAAGGAAGACCTGTTCCTCCCCAACAGCTAAGCTGAATGAGTTGCTGGAGGCCATTAAGTCCAGGGATTTACTTGCACTAGTTCAAGTCTATGCAGAAGGGGTAGAGCTAATGGAGCCACTGCTCGAGCCTGGACAGGTAAGACCTCACTGAAATCATAGAACAGAAAATAAAAATCAGGTTAAATGATCATTTTTGTTATCCTAACAGCATATAATGAGATTCTTATATACTATTTGGTTACACACTTCTAAATCAAGAGAATTTGAGAGTAAAATGTGTCGTTGAAATAATTATTTGAGGCATCTAATGTAAGTGAAGCTGGTAGAAAAAAACAGGCATGTGAATCTCCATGTTTATACTTGTCCTTCCCTTCCCAGGAGCTCGGGGAGACAGCCCTCCACCTCGCTGTCCGAACTGCCGACCACACATCTCTCCATCTGGTTGACTTCCTTGTACAAAACTGGTAAAGCCTTTGTTTTCTCCATTGAATTAAGTAAATATCACTCATAAGTTAGTACACACCAGACCTATTAGTGGCCTAGATCATAACACAGTAAACATCTTTTTATAATTAGCCATATAAAATCTAAGGCTTTGCAGACCATTGTGGTATGAAAACAGCTATAAACAATATGCAAATGAGTGAGCATAGCTGTAGGCCAATAAAACTGTTTACAAAAATAAAGAACCTTCCAAACTGTGTCCCATAGGTTATAGTTTGCTAGTGCCTGGCCATAGAAAATGTAAAGTACTATCTGTGTGCCTAAAAACTTGCTATATTGCTGGGCATTGGTGGCTCATGCCTGTACTCAGCTACTCAGGAGGCTGAGATCTGAGAATTGTGGTTTGAAATCAACCTGCGCAAGAAAGTCCCTAAGACTCTTATCTCCAATTAACAACCCTCTTCCTCCCCCCCCCCCACACACACAAAAACAATCTAGAAGAAAGCCTATAACTCAAGTGACAGAGTGCTAGCATTGAGCAGAAAAGCTCAGAGATAACAACCAGACTCTGAGTTCAAGGCCCAAGACTGGCACAAACAAAAAAACTCCTGATTTGCAGAGTATGAAAGAAGAGTATGAACAGTACAGGTCAGTTAGATTTTTGAGTGTTTGTTGTTTAATAGAATAGAGCAAGCTAGTTCAAATGAGACATAATGTTAAGCCTGTAATGCTGAACACAGGAGATGTGTCTCTGCTGGATTCTTTCATTTTCTTTTTATTTTTTAATGTAAAGTAGTTGTACAAAGGGGTTTCAGCTGAACTTGTCAGTTTGTAAGTACAGTGCATATTGATCAATGTCAACTGTTCAGTAAGAGGAAGATTAAATAGGAGCTGAGCTTATCCAGAGGCAAATGATCAATAGGGAGGGGAGTTGATCCCATGTAGGAAGAATGGTTCATGGACACAGTCTAATTGTATAAAGGTCCAGGCCTCTTCCTTAGAGGAAAGAATGGCATAATGTTTAAGAGCATTGGCTCCAGAGATAGTCTGTGTTCAAATCCCCATTCTGTTGTCCCTATCTTGAATCCATGAAAGCAAGCACTTCAGCCTCTCTGTGCCTTCAGTTTTTCATCTGCAAAATGGAAGCTAGTCTGAGTACTTTCTCAGGTAGGTGTGAAGATTCACTGAACATGAACATGTAAAAGCTACTCTGTGGTTTACTAGGCACTCAATTCTGAATGCTACTATCACTGTATTTCTTATAAATGTAGGTATATAGAAACACCGTCATTTCCCTGTTTTAAGTTTGAGTCAGTTATTAGCATAGAAAGAAGCACCCACATGCATTAGCACACACCTGTTGTCTCAGCGACTTGGGAGGCTAACGCAGGAAAACCAAAGATTTGAAGCCAGCCTACATTATATAAGACCACGTTTGACCCTCATCACAAAAATAAGTAAATATAGAATATGATATTCACACTTATATTCCTTCGTTCATCCACACTTTTACTTTCTGAGGTATCAGTTACCTGAATTCAACCATGGTCCAAACGTATTAAATGGAAAAATCCAGAAATAAGTAGTTTATACCTTTTAAATAGCAACTGATGCCTAGAGTTGTAGTCATTTCTTTGTGACACTGTGATTTTTCAGTGGGAACCTGGATAAGCAGACATCCTTGGGGAACACGGCTCTGCACTACTGCAGCCTGTACAACAAGCCTGAGTGTCTGAAGCTGCTTCTCAGGAGCAAGCCCACTGTGGACATTGGTGAGAGTATGGCCACGTGTCACCAGCGACCATCTCTTAACATCTGTTCAGTAAAACAGATTTGCATGTTATCTGCTGTTCTTCCCTAGACACTTAATGCAAGCGTAGTTTTCCTTTGTTTCAGTTAACCAAGCTGGAGAAACTGCCTTGGACATAGCAAAGAGATTAAAAGCTACCCAGTGTGAAGATCTGGTAAGAGAAAGTAGATTTAGACATTTATTAGTCATTAACTCTCTTCAAAATGTCCTTCTGAGAGATTGAAATTAGCCAGGAAGTAATGGTTCATACCTTTAATCCCAACTACCAACTATGGAGGGATTTAGGTGAGAGGATAATGGTCTAAGACTAGCCCCCAGAAAAAAATACAAGACCCTATCTGAAAAATAAAGCAAAGAAAGGGCCAGAGGCATAACCCAAATGGTGGAACCCCCTAGCAAAAGCACAAGGCCCTAAATTCAAATCCCAGTACCATAAAAAAAAAACAACAAAACGTTTAACTAGGAATACAGGTAGACCCATTGCAACAATGAGATGTACAAGTCGTTATGTCAAGAAACGAACTTCACAACTTTGTTGGGGGTAGGGGGAGGATGGGAAGGGGAAACAAAGAAGAAGCAACAATGCTTGATAAGAAATGTACTCATTATCTCGCCCATGTAATTGTAACCCCTCTGTACAGTATTTTCACAATAAAATTAAATAAATAAACAAAAAAGTGAAATAATTACCACTGTCACCCACTTGTGTTTTGAGTGCAGTTGTGGCATGGGAGGTGAAGTGCATTTGAGAGGTGCTGTCACTGGACAGGACTGCAGATTGCAGTTATACTTTGTATTTGCCAGGTCAATAGGCTTTTTCTATAGTTTACACCTTTGGGCAGATAAAGCTCAGAGGATAGTGGCTTTGAGAGTGTTAAACACTGTTCTCCTAATTCTGTACACTCACCTCACTTGACCCCACCAATTCTTGCTGAATAATTAAAACCTGGAGTTAGAATGATTCTAATGAAAAATGTAACATGAGTGGCATGGGAAAGGAAGAGATAGGTTTTTTAAAAAGTCACATTCTCTCTCAATTTTTGCTGAGTACCAGATTCTAAGCCTGGTAGTTAAACTTTTAATTCTGTTTTTGTTACATATTGCTTTGTTTTGCTTTGTTTTTATTGTGCCAGTACCAGGGCTACAACTTAGGCATGCTCTTGCTCCGCTTTCTTGTTCACAGTTGCACTCTCCCTTTTCACTACTTAATTGGAGATGGAGCTTGAAGAATTTCTGCACAGCTGGCTTCTCAGCTGGCTGATCAGCCAGGTCTCAGCCTCCTGAATAGCTAGATTTACAGGTGTGTGGGCCACGAGTGCCTACCTTGTTTTATTTTGAGATAGGGTCTTCAAGCATTCCAGTCTCTACCTCCCATATATCTAGCACATGCCACTGTACCCAAGTATGAGTTGAAAGGAGGCTTATAAACTTTTCTGTCCAGGCTAAGACCTACCCATGACACTCCCATTCTCGGCCTCTGAAGCAGCTAAGATTATATCGGCATGAGCCACTGGCATCTGGCTTTACTTTTTATTCACCAGCAGGATGCTGGTGGCTCATACCTGTCATCCTAGTTACTCAGGTTGCTGAGATCTGAGAATCATGATTCAGAACCAGCCTGGGCAGGAAAGGTCATGAGACTCATCTCCAGTTAACCGCCAGAAAACCAAATGTGGAGCTGTGGCTTAAAGTGGTAGAGCACTAATCAAGTAGAAGAATATCAAGAACAGTACTCCGACACTGAGTTCACACCCCAGGACTGGCGCAATAAGTTAATTAATTAATTAATTAGAATATTCTTGAGATTGCTGTCCCTGCACTCATTTTATTAATAAGAAATGGGATGGGCTTTTAAAGATATACCTCTTAAATTTGACAGACTCTTGAATGTTTTTCAGACAGGAATATGTGATTCTGAGATACATTTTAATATTAAGAAAGCTTTTAAGTGAATGCTGGTAGCTTATGCCTATAATCCTAGCTACTCAGGAGCCTGAGAGGTGAGGATTGCAGTTTGAAGTCAGCCCAGGCAGGAAAGTTTGTGAGACTCCTATCTCCAATTAAATCACGGAAAATCGGGAAGTGGTGCTGTGGCTCAAGAGGTAGAGTGCTAGCTTTGAGCTAAAAGAGCTCTGGAACAGTGCCCAGGCTTAGAGTTCAAGCCTCAGGACTGGCAGAAAAAAGAAAAAGAAAGTTGTTAATTTCAGATAAAAATCAAGTTGTCAAAGTCAGGAAGCCTCTTCCTGCTGTTCTTTGCAGTTCCCAGGTCTGTCAAACGGCCATCTACTTTATTACTAACTAGCTATTACTATTATTATTATTATTACTATTTATTACTACTTATTACAATTAGTTAGAGTTGCGCCCAGGTGCACCTGTTGATGCGTTTGAAACTAGGCGTCAGGTGGGATTTGCTCAGTGTTTGTGTTTGGACATTTCAACCTAAATGGTGCGTACCTGCTGTTCCTTCCAGCTTTCCCAGGCTAAATCTGGCAAGTTCAACCCACATGTCCACGTAGAGTATGAGTGGAATCTTCGACAGGAAGAGATGGATGAAAGTGATGATGATCTGGATGACAAAGTGAGTGGGAAGGGTGGGTACCCCAGAGAGAGTTCCTGTCCTCCCTGCACAGGCCGGAGCCATTTTCCTGTGAGATGGTTTGGGTCTTCAGACCTGATGTACCAGGACCATTGTCATCGCTTGGTTTCTGACAATTACATTATTATTGAGGGTTGTCCAGAGAAACTGAAGCAATGGGACAGAAGGAGAAAGGAAAAAACTTGTCTGAGCTTGGCTCTCATGGTTGAGGGGGCTGCTGGACCAGCAGGGATTGTGACAGAGCTGAGGCTGTAAGCAGAACCCCTCATTGTCCAGGAGACCCTGCCTCTTTTTAAAAAAATTTTCTTTTTCACTGTTAATGTAAAGGTGATATACAAAGAGGTTACAGTTATGTAACCTCTTTCTTTTTGGACAGTGTCACCCCTGCCCTCACTCTCTCCCAGTTTTCCCTCCCATCCCCACCCACAAGTTGTATAGTTCATTTTCAACATAGTGTTTAGTGAATACCACTGCTGTATTAGTTCACCATTTGTCCCTCCGTTTCTGTGCCTTGGTCTGTTGGTTAAGCTTTTCACTGTATGAAGCCCACTCACAGGCACTGTAAGCCAAAAACAGTGGATCCAAGTAGTAATCATATCTAAAAAAATAACCCTACAAGTGACACCTAGATTGATACTTGACCGAATGTAGGACATGGAAGCCTAGCCAAGCTGACACTAAAAGGATCCATCAAAACAGCTAATTAATAAGTACTAACAGTTGTCATTTATTGAGCGTACTTAAATATTGACTAGGCTGCCTAGCACCTATGTTATCTCAGACCAGCTTTACTGAAAACCAGTGGGGGATAACTGCTATTGTCCCCAGTTCACAGAAGAGAAAAAGAATTTAGCAACTTGTATGGAGTCAGTGAGCTGGTAAAAACAGACTCCAGGCTTAAATGCAGATAGTTGTAATCTACTTGAAGTCACTCATCCTTATCACCATATGTAGCTGGATGGTCCCTCAGTGCCACGCAGGATGTGAAGAATGGTTGGACAAAGAGGCCCTAAAGTCATTGGGTACTTGAAGTGGGTGTAAATGGTCATCTGGTGTGAGAACTAATATACTGAGGATTTGAAGTATTCCTGAGAAGTGTTCAAAAGACTGAGCTCCTCCGCCTTGGCAGACTGCACAGATGCTATCGAGGGAGTAGCACTGAAAACGAGTTTTTGAGGTAGTTGGATGTTGGCCTGGGAGAACAGTATGGGCCATGGCTAGGGGTCTGGCAGAGCCTGGAAGTCTGAATGGTGAGAAATACTATGCCGGAGGGAGGGGCTGCCCTGTGGGGTCAGCCAGGTCAGGTTAAGAAAGGCTACACTAGGTTGGGCTTTTATCCGTGCTGTCAGGTTTATCCAAGCTGAGGTTTAGTATCAGAAGAGCAAGGTTTCCTGCCAGCTGCGGCTGCTTTGTGGACAATAGCCAAGACCATTCAGGAGGTTGGTGGTGCAGTGAGATCAGTGATCCCCTCACTAGGAAGGAGCTTGAGGACTCTTTGGCATCTGTGCAGGCCAGGGGGCTCCAAGTAATGTCCAGTTACTAACATCACAGGTGAGTGATGCTTACGTCATTACAGTGCCTACCTGAGCAGTTGGAAATCATTTGTAGTCTTAGAGCTTGGGTAGGATTTTCACATCTGAATGGTCAGCATTGTAGGCAGGCACCTCAAAGCCATGCTGTGTATGAGTTTGCTTCCCAGAGAGACAAAGTGAGAAGGGAGGTGAAGACTGAGAAGATCTAAACAGGAGTAAGAAGTTAGTAGAACATATTACAGATGGATGAGAACACGGGAGGGCGTGGAGAGTGTCTTGCACAGGGAAGGTGTTCATCCCTTCACTGAACGTTATACCACACTGCAGCCTTACTGTCTCAAACGCTCTACTGGTCCCTCACGGTGTTCCCTAGAGGTTGCCAGTGATGAGGGTACAGGAAGTAGTAGGGTAAAGGCTTCTTTGTCATGCGTGACTGAGAGGCTCTGGCACAGGTCCTAACCTCCTCCAGCAAAGCTTCTGGAGCCCAGGTGACACCTGAACCCATCCTGCAGGCTCCTTTGCACAATCCTTTGTTATATCTCACCCACTGTTGTCTCATCTACCAGCCAAGCCCAATCAAGAAGGAGCGCTCGCCCAGGCCCCAGAGCTTCTGCCACTCCTCCAGCATCTCGCCCCAGGACAAGCTGTCACTGCCAGGGTTCGGCACACCTCGGGACAAGCAGCGGCTTTCCTATGGAGCCTTCACCAACCAGATCTTTGTGTCCACGAGCACAGACTCACCCACATCACCTACTTCAGAGGCCCCCCCTCTGCCACCTAGGAACGCCGGGAAAGGTAGGGCCAGAGATGGGCTTTGTGGCTCCCTCTTCAGTGCTGCTGCTTTGCCCAGCTGTCCAGCTTGAAAGGAAGAGTCTGAGGTCCAATTTGACTAGCAAAGTGTGGACCACACAGTCAGGAACATCATGACGTGGGGACCTTGCCATCTGCCTGGCACCAGCAGCAGGACAAGCAGTGTAAGAGGCATAGTTTGTGCACTGCCTCTTGATAACATCACACAAGTGCTGTGAAGTGTGTGCTTTTGTGCCTGTTTTAGAGATGAGGAAACCAAAGCTTAAAGAGGTACAATGGCTTATCAAAGGCCATACAGCCATAAACGATGGAGCGGTATAATTTAGTCTGAGATTCCCCATGGCTTCAAAACCTGCAGTCTTTTTAGCATGGCTGGAATGTGAGTTCTTGGAAAGGTTACTTTCCTCCACACTAAGAGGTCTCTGTTGAAGATGCTGGTGCTCATAATGGTGGTTAATGGTCACAAGCATTCATCTCACAAGAGCCCTAAGCCAAGCTCTTCCCATTCTTTGGACTCCAGGTGAGATGGATATTCTAGCTGTAGCATCTATAGGCACTGCCTAAGGTTCTCAGTTGCTTGGAATTCTTCACCAGGTCTTCTATGAACCAGTTGTACAGTACTACATTCTCACACGATGTTTGTCTTCCCTGAGACAGGACCTGATCTGGAGAGGGCTCTCTTCCCACAGGAGTGTCATGATGGACATTATCAAAAACCTCCGCAGGGCTAACTCCTTGAGCCAATAGCTAGCACCCTGTTCTCAGCCACAAAGTGCTATATTACATCTCCTATCCACAGAGTATGCCCTGCTTACAAAGTCAGTATGCTCCCACTTGTTGAGGGAAGTTGATGACAGAAATGTTAATATCAAGGGTCACCCAAGCAAAGGGGGGAGTAGAGAGGTGCCTCGAGCTACACCTTTGATTTTGGTCTCTGACTGAAACCAAATGCAGGATTCTCACTATGTGCTCAGCCTGTGCTAGCTCAGGTTTGAAGGGCCTCGTGGTGCACAATGCCATGCCTATTTGAATCACACTGGAGCTATTTTGTGGGAAATGTGAGCTTTATTCAAAAGTGTTTTTTCAGAGCTTATTCTCCATTGAAATAGTGTTATAAATGGAAGCTGTGTTCTTAGACCCCAAATGGCCTCATAGATCATAAAAATAAGACAGACAAGTTAAAATAAGGCTTTGCATGAACAGATCTCATCAAAGATAACCAGTGGCCCTAATGCTAATAGCACAGGGGCTAAACCTGCCGCTATTTCTTACCATACTATATACACTCTATTAGAACATTCTCTCCTTAATCACTAGTGTATCAAACACTGGGCCGCTGCTCCCTTCTGGGAAAGGATGCTCCCCAGAGAGTAAGAACAAGGTGCCTCACTCCATCCTCCTGAGCACAGTGAGGATTCTCCAGGCCTAATGACAGTGGAGCAATGTCTCTGAAAGATTTCATATTCTCTAGTGATGCTCATCAATACAGTTCAGTAATCTCCCTCAACAGGCAAGGCCTGCCCTGGGTCACAGAACCTCCAGGTCACTGAGAACCTGGAGGAACTGACACCAGAGTCCAGGGAACCAGTAGATGCTTACCTCCTCTCACCCCCTCCCGTAATTTTATCCCAATGTGGGCACTGAAACACATAAACCATTCCCTCTGGCTCAGTGCCATGTGTAGCTCTCCTGCCTTGAATAAATTCTAACCAGCTCTTTACCAAAGACCCAGTAGACAAAGAGTAAATTTAGTGAGTCAGCTGCTGGAACAGGAGCTTCGAGACTTGGCTATAGCCACTATGGTCAACTAAGGATAGGCAGCTTATCCTTCCTCCTGAAAAATAAAGCCCATAATTGAAAAAAAAGAAATCCCTCACTGCCAACAGAGTAGCCCTCCTGGCTGTTCAGGGCAGGGCATCAGATTGAGAGCTCTGGCCTGTCTGCCAGTGAGACAGGAGGAGGGCAGCCTCTCATGATGGTTATATGGGGCTGAGTGCCTTTACCTGTGAAAAACTGGCAGTGTGTAGAACTGAGTTGTTAGTAGGCATTGTTAAATGTCAGCTGACACTCTGTGTACAGACACAGTTCTTGTTTTGTGGCTTCCTATTGGAGCCACTGACAGAGAACAAGACTGTCTTGAATCATGGTTTGGATTGCTCATTCTCCAAGCGAGGAAAGCCCTGGTCTGTATTTATAGCCAAAGTCATCTCCCAGCCTCAAATTTATGAGTCTAAAGGGTGGTGGCTTCTAGGATGCATATAGATACTTGTGGCAAAGTTCCCACAAACAAGAAGAGTACAAAAAGAACTGTAGAAAGAATTCTTCTGAGCCTAGCTTAGGAATATTTTCAAGAAACTCCAGCTGGCTCATCAAAATTCAGGAAGTTTGAGCTAAATTACCATTAAGCAAAGCCCCCTTGTGTTTGAGCAGTCCTCGTCAGTCTCAGAAGAACTCAGCCAACTCAGAATCCCAAACTCACCATTCTTTAGGCTCATACAGAAACATTATGCTGCCTAACCCCTCTTCGAAGGGGAAGGGGGTCCAGTTAGAGTAAATGGAAACTACAAAATGAAGTGTGTAGATATTTGTGATCAACAACTTTCCTCTGCCTGATTACTTTATATTTAAAGACTAGAAATAACTTTGTTTTTAATCTTTGGGTTAAAGTACTGTCATAGAGAGCCAGATATGGTAGCCTACAGCTATAATCCCAGAAGCATAGGTAGGAGGATGGACCCAAGCAAAAATTTAAGATTCTATTCAAAAAATAACTGAAGCAAAAGGCTGAAGGCTTAAGTGGTACAGCACTTGCCTAGCAAACAGGTTCAAATTCCAATATTATAAAATAAAAAGAGGTTGATGCAAGTTTAACAGCCTATACCATCATAAGAAAACAGCCCTGGAAAGGTTAAGGAACTTACTTCAGGTTGCACGGCACTGAAATGAATGGGAAATTTATGTGGACTTGATAGCTGTCAGACCAGATCTTCTTTTTCCTTCTTTCCCTTGTTGGGGAAGATGGTCCGTCTTTCTCATGCCTGGCTCATGAGATTATCATCAGAAGCCAGTGAGACAGTACAGGAAGAAAGCATTTTGGAACAGGCAAAGCTTTTCCTTGCTCTGAGATACTTGAGTTGAGATTATTAGGCTATGACTGGAAGTATTTCTGGAGTGTGGGAGACTGGAGGGCAACACAGTGCTATGCTACCCATCCCATAGAACAGGAGTTTGAAAATAGGTTGCTTCTGTTTGGGTGATTTGTTTGATTTGACTATGCCTTTAAATAATTTTAAGCTTGAGAATTGTGATGGTTTTTTTTTAATTGTTAAACATAGTTCCATTTAATGCTTTTTTCTTTCTTTTTTCTTTTTCTTTCTTTTTTTTTTTTTGCCAGTTCTCAGGCTAGGCACTATCTCTGAGCACTTTTGCCCAAGGCCAGTACTCTACCATTTGAGCCACAGCTTTACTTCCAGCTTTTTTTTTTCTTTTCTTTTCTTTCTTTCTTTTTTTTTTTTTTTTTTTTGGTGCTTCATTGGAGATGAGTCTCACCAGCATTCCTGCTTGGGCTGACTTCCAACAAATTTCAGATCTCAGCCTTCTGAGTAGCTAGGATTACTTAGGGCCTTGTATATAATAGTGCAGAAAGGGAGTGGCTACCTCAGGTGAGATTACAGGACAAGTCTATGAGACATTTCACTCCGCACCTGGTCCCTAGTATTCCACAGCGAATGTTATCTATCCCCTGCTGGGTACAGTACCTCTGTAGCTCTTGTCCTTTTAAGAAGGGAGTCCTTTCAGTTATAGAGGCTACACTGAAATCATACACCTACTGAATTAATAAGTGCTTCAGATAGTGAAACCAGGCACTGGTATAGGCTCAGTTAAAGGTTTTGTTCGATCTGTGATGAATCTGATCTCAAGAAGCTTGACTTAAAAGAACAGTTTAAGCTTTTAGGAATAGGGATGCCAATCAGTTTATTCCCACTGTTCATGAGATGAAGTTCTAGAATCAGGAATTACATGCAGTGAATACTATACATTTCACACCGTCCAGTCTATATAGACTTTCTACCTCAAATAGCTTCTAGCTTTGGTCTGTTAAAGCAGCAGTCTAGTCAAAAGCAGCATGGTATCTACTGTCCTGAAACCATAGTAGATGCTGATGTTGATGAAGCCTTAGTGCCATGGAGAATACACAGACAACAAGCTACCATCAGTGTAGGCAGCTATAGAAAGCTAGACTGTAGCTACTGGGGCAGGCATGAATCTTAGAAAACCTTTCAAACCTCATCTTCTCTTCTAAGAAGACACCTTTCTCCAGCCCCGTGAGAGACTGGGATTTCTTCACCACAAGGGTAGGTAACATTTCAGTGAACCTGCTGAATTTCAGGATCTCCATCTGAAAAATAAGGACTAGAGTCTACCATGCTGGGCCACTGAACAGATCCCATGCAATGAAGTCTGCGATGTGTCAAACACTAACAAGCATTCAGAAAACATGAGCTTCATCCTAGGGCAGGTTTTCGGCTCAGAAAATATTTCAGGAAGAGTAATGGAAGAGCTGCTCTTCCCAGAGCTGGTCATCAGGAGAAACAGTGACATATACTATCAGACCAGTAGGAGGTACTGCAGTGGAGGGAGCCAGGAGGAAGTGGACTGCTTTCTCCTCTGCAAAGGATTCATTTCATTCTGACCTGGTTAGAGACAGAAGCCCTTGAAAACCAGGGCCATTAGTGAGTTGTCTCAGAACTCATAAAGCAGAGAATTAGATTCTCATCAATATCAGAGCCTGTCCGCTCGTGAAAAACAGAATCAGGGAGAGCGTGTCCCAGAAATATATGGCATGTTAAGGAAGGAATATGCGTAAAACTGAACCAGATGTCCTGCAGGGTGAGGGTTCACTTGCTGAAAAATCTGTGTGAAATGTCTGCACCAGTTATGCCAAATGCAGCTGTGAAAGCTCTCACTTTTCACACTTTTCCCAGAGGTCTGTAACAGTAGAGGACAAAAGCAAATGGAAAGGGACAAGACTTCTCAGCTTACTGCAGCCACCTGCCATCAAGAAGGACAGATAGTACTAGATGATTCAGACAAGCTTAGGAAGCACTTTCCTATCAACAGTATGAGTCATACATGGATAGCTTTAGTTTCCTAGGTGTTTTTTTTAAGCCTGTACAAGACAGTTTAAGTACAGTAGTTTGTCCTTAGTTCACATTGGATTTCTGTTTTGTTGAAGTTGGGGAATGCTTTTGTTTTGGCCTGTATCTGTTACTGTTACTCCTTTTTAAAGCATTGCACGGGGAAGTGGTGCCCTGCCTCAAGCTGTAGAGCATTTGCCTTGAGCAAGAGAAGCTCAAGGACAGCGCCCAGGCCCAGAATTCAAGCACTTAGGACTGGCAAATAAATAAAGTATTGCACATGAGCTTTGCCCTCGATAGTGGCCACTGTCCAGTAACATTGCCTGATCACCAGGGTGAAAAAAGAGAAGCAAAGGAAATCCCGGTTGTACTTCTTGCATTCAGGGATATATGAGTCCTGAGCCACCAAGGTCCAGTAATTTTTCTCTTGATCATCAGTATCATAGAAAGATTGAAGGACCCAGAAATAACTAGTGCTCTTTTCCATGTAGGAATCAACCAGTAGAGTAGTATCATGCTTTGTCATACCCGGGCACAGTATGGCACTGCCATGTTGGCATTCTGGTCATACCTGCTACTGGCTTACTGAGGTACCACAGCACTGTGCCTCCTGTGCTTCTGTTTCCCAATCTGAATGTGGAGATGATGACAGCTCCTTCCTTTGACACAGTCTTATCCACATAATTATACAATATTGTATCTTCATCTACTTAAAATAATTAACTTTAGCTTCCTTCCCATTCTTTTAAGCTTTAAAATAATTAACTTTAGCTTCCTTCCCATTCTTTTAAGCTCTGTGCTACGATAACCCGAAGATAAGTTAGGAGGAATATCTTCAGGAAAAAGGCTGTACAACTTGTTGATTGTAGCAAATTATATAATGGAGTTTCCTAAAGGAATGTGTTTTAAGTGGTCTCACCTTAAACAAATTAGAAATGTGTGAAGCAATGGATGTTCTTCAGTTTAGCCATTCCAGAGAATATGTGTTTCAAACAACATATGTATGTACAATGTTTATTGAAAAAATCGAGAACAGATTTTTCAAAGATTATTAGGAAATGATGGTTGAAGTTTTGTTCATATTATCCAGAATTTTGTAAGTATAACTTTTTCACCGCTCCTCCTGGATGGCATGTTAGAATATGTAATGCTTCTACAGACAAATCTGTCCAAAATGGTCAAGATGATTTTTCCAGCCACAATCTATGAAGTTTCACAGTTGTACTTTTATTTGGTCTCCCATGGTGAACTAGATTTTCTGTGTTATTGAAAACCAGATGTGCAGGTGTTAGAAAAGCATCGTGGTTGCCTGCACCATGCATTGTCCCCATAGATAAACATGGGGTATACCCAGAATGTGCCACCAACCAGTACTGGCAAAGGCAGTCGACATCCCCTTTCCCTCCCCCCCCGCCCCCCCCCCGCCACCATGGACCATATGAAATATCCAGAGCTGTTTAATCTTTATGGAAGTTCAGAGATAGAATCAGTTGCTTCAGGACATAGGAGCTTGATTAGAGAAAGAGTCTGGATAAGATTGCACCTTTGCTGACCATTGAAAGATGAAGAGGTGAAGAAAGATGAAGGTGAAGAGCTTGGTGTCCCAGAGTGTTCAACACAGAGAGCACAGGATGCCATTCAGAGGAAGGGAAGCACGCTGGTGCCAAGGCCAAGAGTACAGCCTTTAAGCCAGCAGGGTTTTGCCTTGTCGCCTCACATTGGGTCTGGCCAAGTTCCTGTGCTTTCTGAGGCATATTCTGTTCGTTCTGTGGTGACTGAGTGGATGACTCCAGGGTGGAGTCACTCTCAAAATCATGCAAGCATACAACATAGTTTTGTTAGCATTTTGTCTGTGGCAGTTTTTGCTTCCAGATGCGATTCGGAACCTGAGTGACCTTTCCAATGCACTGCACCAGAAAGTCCCTAGGTGGCGATAAAGATGAAATTGGTGGGAATCTCAGCATTGTCTATTATGTAATGCATTTATTTCACAAGGAAAGTTACACTTCCTGATAGTGACCTGTGTTGTTTCCCTCATGTGCCAAGCACAGGAAATGCTACCCTGACTAAGAACAACCAGCCGTATCTGTTGCTGGAATGAACACCTCCCCAGTGTCTGTCCCAGCACTACTCCAGCTCCATCCCCCATGTCTATGGGCCCTTGATGTAAAGGCCCAGTGTTTTGCCAGCACAGTGGAAACAGTACTAAACACAGGTACCACAAAGGTTCTCGTGAGAATCAAAAGAGGTTGCATATACACAGGAATTTTGAAAATTACAATGCATTGTACAGATACCAGGCCATAAGTCACCAAAATAAAATAATTTCTAAATTGGAGTAAAAGGAATTATAATTAGGCATTGATTTAGAATAACCATAAGATTTTCATCATGTATCAGTGAGGCAGAATAAATTATATAGCTATGACTCTTCAGTCCCTATGTAGATTATCATTTACTGCCAAGATTAGACTGTCTTTGAAAATTAAATCAACATTAGTACTAACTGGTAATGATAATGAGAAATATCTACATTTATCCAGAAAGGACACTAGCAATAATTTAAGTTTTTCTTTTAATACACAGATTGTAAAAAGCTCTTTGGAGCCTTTCAGGATCACCAGTTATCTAGTATCCTGTGTTAGTATGGCAGTGTTCTTAGCTTTTCCTTATGTTTCTTTTTTCTTTCTCTAAATGTCTGCAGAGATAATTATTCGTGGACATGTTAAACCATTCACCTGATAATATTTCTTAAAAAAATAGTTGTCCAAGAGCCCAGCAACATGCCTCACAAACACCAGCCTTTTCTGTGTTACTTTAAGAACATACATACTATTCATACATACTGTTTCAAAGACAAACTCACTGTTGTTTGCCTTCAGTACAATAGATAGCTTATTACTGCTGGAACAATTCAGAGCTAGAACACAAAAGTTGTTGTTTTTATTTTCTTTTGCTTTTTTTTCTTTTTTTCTGATCTAAGTAATTTTACGTTTTTTAGAATTCAGAAAAGTTTTTTAAAAATGAGAACAAATTTTCAGTTTGACTAAAAGAAACTGGGGGCTGGGGGCATGGCTTAGTGATAGAAAGCTTGCCTAACAATTGCAAGACCCCAAGTTTAAATCCCAAACTGTCCCCCAAAAATATCAGTAGTGGAAAAACTCCCATGATGAAAACATTCCCCTGTTTGAACCTGTGCGCCATTGAAGGATCAGTTCCCACAGTTCTACTCTTCTGTGCTGATGTTCCTGGTGGTGCTCTATCCCTTCTTCCTTGGCAGGTTTTGTGATGATTCCTGTGAATGGTTGGTTTTAAATGTGTTTGCATTAGTTTTCCCATGGTGGCTGAATGATGATCTAAACCCTTTAGCTTTCTGTATGGACTAGTATGGTTTTTTTTTTATTATTGTTTTGTTTGTTGTTATTCAGTTTGGTTTTTGAGATGGTATCTCGCCCAGGTTACTTAAAAACCCATAGTCCTCCTGTCTTAGCCTCCAAGTAGTTTGTATTACAGGCCTTTGTTACCACACCCAGTGAGGCTAATGTTTTGTTCCTTAAAAGCACACATTCTCCTTTTCTTTTTAGTGCTTTATAAACATCAAGTTTTTCAACCCCTATTTGTGAGTCTCTGGATTGGTAAACATGACATACCCCGCCTTTGGCTTTTGTCTGTGTTGTACCACATTTTGACGTGTGAGATTGCATACTGTCTGTACACGTCTGTGAGATTGGGATTAACCTTCCTGCCCCCATTCAATTTCCTTTCTAGGTCCAACTGGCCCACCTTCAACACTCCCTCTAAGCACCCAGACCTCTAGTGGCAGCTCCACCCTCTCCAAGAAGAGACCTCCTCCCCCACCACCCGGACACAAGAGAACCCTGTCTGACCCTCCCAGCCCACTACCTCATGGGCCCCCAAACAAAGGCGCAATTCCTTGGGGTAAGTTTTCCTAAAGGCAGGGCCAAAGCTGCCCAGGGCCAGGCAGAATGGGAGGGGGGGGCTCCATTGGGCACTGAACAGTTAGTGAAATCAGAAAATGGACCAAACCTGTGCCTACTGGATAAAGATTTAGATATGTATAATTATGGTTATATCTGCCTCATAAGGCCAAGCAGCATTTTGAAAACATTTGGGGACATCAAAAGTTGATACTAGTTATAAGTACAGTTGTGCCTCAGTGTCAGGGGATTGGTTCCAGACCACTACCCCATGATACCAACATCTGTGGATGTTTAACTTCCTCATATTAAATGGCACGGTATTGCATATAACCTAAGCACATACACTTTGTCATCACTAGATAACTTATAATAACCTAATGCAAATGTGTTGTGTACAAATTCTATACACATTCCATACAAACAAATACTTTTGATCCCCAGTTGATTGGCTTCACAGATACAGAGTCCAGGGTAATAGTACGGGGTGCTAAAGCACATCCTAAATCTTACACAGTCACAACAGCAGCTCTGTGAAGTGAGTGCTGTTAATTCCACAGGAGAGGAAACATTCTCTGGAGAGGTCCATTCTCATGGTAGTCAGAAGGGTTTTTTTACAAGACAGGAAAACAGGGTCAGATTATAGTCACTCTTGGCCCTCGTACCTTTAAGGATATCCTGCTGAGCTTTAACTGAAAGCAAACTCCTTATGCCAGAGCCTAGAGGGCCTCTCATTTCTGTTCTGCCACTGGCTGTCCTTCCCGTCCTGGCCACCACCCCCCTACACGGTCCCTCCCAAGGCCCTCACTCACCTCACTCCTCCTGCTCCTCGGAAGCCTGGCTCCCTGTCACTCTTCTGCTCTTAGCTAGTATAGGTTTCTCCCTGAACCTCATCCCTCAAGTCGCTGATTTCCTCCCACGCACGGTGACAAATCCTCGAGGTTGGGAAATCCTTGTTGTGTCTGTCTTCCCATCTCGAATGTGCGCTCACACATGTGCAGCACGCTTGTCTGTCCTGTCCTCATCTGTGTCTGCAGAGCCTGGGATAGTGCCTGGCACACACGAGATAGTCAGTAATCTCTTAAGAATGAAAACCTCATCCGGTCAGCTAGTTTAATAATCAGTTCAGTGCCACCGACTACAAAGGAAAGATTTTTATCCACAAAACCTAATAGTAATCTTTCTACTAACTTGCCACTACCCAGCAGGATCAGAAGTTCTACTGAAGGAACACATGGGCCTATGTGTCTCACTTCTTCCTGTCAAGGAGTTTCCTCCGTGTGTGTGTGTGTGTGTGTGTGTGTGTGTGTGTGTGTGTGTGTTTAACATGTAGATGAGGAATTCTACTTTAATGCTTTTAAAGACTTTCCCAAAAACATACCTCAAGAGTTCTGAATTTTTTGTTTTCAGGAAACAAAAGAAAAAGACTATCCACTTACAGATTGGAAGACCTCTCTACCCAAATTGTGTGTGTGTGTGTGTGTGTGTGTGTGTGTGTGTGTGTGTGTTAGCCATTCATTGTCTGACTCCATTTATATAAGGTACCTAGAGTGTGTGCTACTTGGTCATCTCAGTCCATGTGCTCACAGAGCTCCTAGTCCAGTTCCTAAGTCCCAAGGAATAAACAATGGAAGTGCATGTTATTTACTGTCAGCGTAGCCGTAGTAACAAGATACTGTAGACATGCTGGAAAAGAATCAAACTGCCAGGTGAAGCCAGAGGAGGAGATATTTGAGGTTGGTTCCTTTTTAACCAAGGAAAAGTAAGGAAGGCGAGAAAAATCAAGGCATGCAGGCAGATCTGTGCATAAATACCAGCAACATCTTGGCTAAATTTAGAACTTTGCATTCAAGAGTCATCAGTTTGTCAAGAAGGGTTTCCCCGAGAATATTCCACCCGAAGTCACAGGTTTCCTGTGTAGACTTTCTTTTTTTTTTCTTTTTTTTTTTGGGGGGGGGTCTGGTCATGGGGCCTGAACTCTGGGCCTGGGCGCTGCCCCTCAGCTCTTCAGCTCAAGGCTAGCACTCTACCACTTGAGCCACAGCACCACTTCCGGCTTTTTTTGTTTTTGCTTATATGGTGCTGAGGAATCGAACCCAGGGCCTCAGGCATGCAAGGCAAGCACTCTACCACTGAGCCACCTTCCCAGCCCCCCTGTGTAGACTTTCATATCACAACTTAATCTTTCCAAATTTCAATGAAGTTTGATCCTCCTTAGCTTTATTATTTAGTTTACAAGGCTTATATCCACCTGGCAGAGGCCCAAACACTCTCAAATCACTACCAAATTTCTATTTTCTGGCTTAAAAATCATGACTTTTTAAAGTTTCCTCTTTCACTTCATTCAGCAGCAGAACTAGCATCTAACCTTTCTTCTTCTCTAGTGTTGGCAGAGTGGGGGCCTATTCCCCACGAAACAAAGTTGTTACTATTTAGTAAAAGTGACTGCGTACATATCAGGAAGCAGTGGGCCTTTCATGGGTTGAGGCCTCGATCATCTACCATGCACCCTGGCCTACAGCCTGCCCTCAAGACTGTCCTTAGCAAGTGTAATATTTGTGCACATGACCAACTTTGGTTACCATCCACAACCCTGAATGTTAGTTCTAGAATCATCAAGGCTGTTGTCTGTGTGGCACATGTGTAAGATAGACTCAGCCGCAGATGAATCCGTAATGGAAGTATGTGTATGCATGGACATAGCAGGCTAAACTTGGCTCTGGTCCTGCTGTCTGTGCTTTATTGAGCCTGTCACCTGTGTCCTGCTAACATTGTATTCCATGAGCCAAAGGCAGAGATCACGCCGGTCACTAACAAGACACGGAGAGGACTAACCTCTAGGCAGCATCTTCCCATCATCTTCCTCCATTCCCCTGAACCTCCCACCCCTAGAGACCTGGGACTCTGAGGTACCCAGAAGCTAAGAAGGTAGCAGAGGACTAACTTACTTGCTCTCCTCAGGCCTCACCATCCATCTACCTTCAGAATAGGGTATGTCTGCCAGATGAGATATAGTGGGTTCTCAGACCACAGTTTTCTCACCAGGCCAAGTCTTCACTCATGACATGCCCTCAGCCTAGAATGTCCTTCCATCTATCTACCTGGGCTGATGCTTATTCATCAAAGCCCTGCTGTCCTGGGACTTGGTTAAAAGGCCCAGCCCAACACCCTCTCCCCTCCCCAAACACATACCAGTCACTGCTTCTGGTCCAGGGGTTCCCTATTGGCTCTGCTTCCTCCCCTGTCTTTCCCAGAGGGTAGGACTCCTCAAGAGGCCATAGGTGTTGTCTCCTCACATGAGAACAGAGTCCCTAGTGTGTCCCTGGTGTCAAAATACCCACATTCTGGTCCCATCCTCACCACTTCTTATGTTAGCAAGTTCTTACATTGTTTAGCCATAAAACAGGACTTGTACCTATATGGTATACAATTATCATGAGGATGAAGTGAGAAGGACTTAGAGGGCAAGACCCAGAACATAGAAAGCACCCAATGAGTGATAGTTCCTATTACTATCACACTCAGCCTAACACTTTGCTTGATAAGTAGTTGATATCAGAAACCTGCACAAGTTTCTTAAAGCCACTGTGACACATGCTTCAAAAACAAACTATTCTATTAAGTTCTGGAGTCTGCCAAGTTCAAAATCTTGCAGGCCTGTGCTCGCTCCCAAGGGTTTACAGAAAAGCTCTGCCCTTGCCTTTATCAACCTCTGGTGACTCCAGGCACTCTGGAATTGTGTCGGACCTCAAATCACCTTGCTGTTTTCCCTCTGAGCTCTTAAAACCCTCTTGGCCTCTTTCTTACAAGGATTTTTGACATCGCATTTAGCACGTACCTGGATTTCTCGTGGTGATTTCTTCTCAAAAGTCTTAATACATTGGTATAGACTCTTTTCCTAATCTGGTCATCACCCTGGCAACCTACCTGCATCACAGCAGCCTCTTACACCTGTCTCACTTTAAAGCCTGGGCTGTTGGGAGTTTCTCCCATCACCTCCCTCTTTCTGGACTCAGGTATCATAGTTCAGCTTACTTGCAGAGCAGTCATACTGACAAGCCCGGCCTCCCCTAACATTCATTCTTTGCTCTATCCTGAGCAGTAATACTGCCCAGCATTCAACACTAGCCTTTAAGGAAAAGGTGGAAGACAGTTTAAGGAGGAAGTAGAGCTTGTGTTTAGCCTTGGAAGGTGAATGGAACAGACGAGAAAAATAACCAAGGCAAAGACATTGAGGTACCCTTTAGTGAAGGCCAAAAGCATAACCTGTAGTGCACCACCTGCATAGATGGTCTCACTTCATGACATAGGCTTTCTCTTCCTAACATTCCATAATCCATTTTATGCCTTCAGAAATTATTGGTACAGAGCCAAGCACAGTGGTTCATGTAATAATACTTAGGAGGTAGACACAAGGGAATCCCAGTTCAGTGCTAGCCTGGGCAAAAATTAGTGAGCCCTATTTCAAAAGCAAGCTGGGCATGGTGAGGCCTATAATTCGAGTTATTCTGGAAGCTGGGGTTTGCGGCATGCATGGGGAAAGTTAGTACAAGACTCTTCAAATAAATTAACTAAAAGCAAAAATGACTTAAGCAGTAGAGTACTTATCTAACAAGCTTAAGGCCCTAAGTTAAATCTCCAGGACTACTACTAATAATAATAATAATATAATAATAATAATAAAATTCCTGGTGTGGGTTTTAAGGCCCATAAGAAAAAAGAAAATGAAAATTCATCATTAAGAACCTTTAAGTAGGAGCTGGAAAGGTGGCTCAGTGGTAGAGCGCTTGCCTTGCATGCATAAGGCCCTGTGTTCGATTCCTCAGCACCACCTAAGCAAAAAGAAAAAAGCCAGAAGTGGCGCTGTGGCTCAAGTGGTAGAGCGCTAGCCCTGAGCTGAAGAGCTGAGGGACAGCATTCAGGCCCCACGACTGGACCAAAAAAAAAAGAGCGCTAGCCTTGAGCTAAAAAGCTGAGGGATAGCACCCAGGTCCAGAGTTCAAGGCCCACAACTAACCAAAAAAAAAGAACCCTTAAGTAAAAGCCAACCTACCTACTTGCCTGCCTGCTTCCTACCTGCCTACCTTCAACCAGTACTGGTGCTGGAACTCAGGGCTGGGCACTGTCCCTTAGCTTTTTCACTCAAAGCTAATATTCTACTATCTGAGCTACTTCCAGTGTTTAATTAAAGATGAGACTCTCATGCAGTTTCCTGCCCAGATTGGCTTTGAACCACAATCCTCAAATCTCAATCTCCTGAGCAGCTAGGATTATACTGACACCTAGCTCCTATAAGGTTAACCCTTGTAAGCATCCTCACAGAGTACCAGGCAGTGAATTAAATGGTTTGCATATATTAACTTCTCCATGACCACATCCATACAGTATGACATGCCATTCCCTCAGCCTTAAGGACACTAGGCTCAGGTTAAATAACTTACCTGTTCTCTCAGCTGGTATTTGAGTCTAGGATTTGTTTCTTTTCTTTTTTTGGGGGGGGGGGGGCGTCCGGTTGTGGGGCCTGAATTCTGGGCCTAGGCGCTGTCCCTCAGCTCTTCAGCTCAAGACTATCGCTCTACCACTTGAGCCACAGCGCCACTTCCGGCTTTTTTCTTTTTGCTTATGTGTTGCTGAGGAATCGAACCCAGGGACTCAGGCATGCAAGGCAAGTGCTCTACCACTGAGCCACCTTCCCAGTCCCAGGATTTGTTTCTTATATGGCCAAAAACCCACATTCCTCCCCCTGTCCACTGGCTGTCTTCCATTTCATGTGACAGCTGTGGGCCTGACAAAGTAGATGACCCAGTCTACTTCCTGTCTCACCTGTCCTCAGTTGTTTCTCTTCCTGTGTACTCCACTTGGTGTGCGGCTCATCTGGTTCAGGCAGGGATGGTCACCCAGAATGGCCCAAGCCTCGCATACTGAAGTCCTCTGCTGGGTGCCTCTCCTGGAAAGCCTCAGCCTCTCAGGAAACCTTTAAGGCAGGCAGGCTTTTGTTAAGGAGACAGGCCAATGGACGATCTTGAGTTTTATGAGGATCGCAGCATTTCATTAAACCTCCTTTTTAATGACCTACTACAAGGCAGATGACACATTTGAACACAGCTTAAATAATAAGGAAATGAACACCAAGAGTAGAGTAAAGATAGCAAAGTAAGATGAAGTCTGGGATTGTGATCTCAGCATTCATAATCAGATCAGATGCTGTGGCTGAACATGGACTTTGGATAGGACAGTGCAAGAGGCTCACGGGAAAAAGCAAAGAAGGAAGCACAGCCACTCAGCTTGTTTATGGTAGGCCTAAAATGAATCCTGTTCTTGCACCTGAGATGCTTGGAGTGGCAGCAGTTCCCCAAGGGATTTTCATCCTTCCGCACTGAGAGGCAGTCTTGCAGCGCACATTATGGGAGACCATGTGTCCACTGGGTGAGCATTCCAGAAGCCTGAGTTCTGGCCCACGTTCTACCAATCCCTGCCTAGGTGATCACTGGCCTGTAAAACTGTAGACACAGACATAGATACATTTTTCATGGAGATAGAGCAGGTATAGTTTCCTCACACGTTTGTGTTGGGCCCTCATAGCCATCCTTAAACATTGCAACTGTCATTGTCCCCAACTTACAGATGAGGATTGGTGCAAGTAGAAGACAAATGATGTGCTTACTAGCACAAACTGAGTGACTTCAGAATAGAGATTGGACTCTGATTCCACAGCACATAACTACGTTGCTGTTCCAAAAGCTTCTGGGGTCTGTTTGCTGTATTACTGAGCTCATGCTCTTGCCTTCTCCATCAACTCAGCCTGCACCTTATGAGCTACATCAGTGGCCAAGAGTCATGCCCACGGGTTCTTTCCTTTGCTGCCCAATATCTGTATCCAGCTCTCACAAATCTGTATGACATACCAAGGACCTTTCCAAATTGCATACAAGAAAGACACAAATGCATTTCACTGCTTCCTTATATTTGCTCTTCATTCTCCTCTTTATCAGCACCATCAAATTTTCTAAATTTTTTCTAGACAAGCTTTTCTCCCCCAGCACAACAGGTAGCCAGCCTTTGCCTCACTATGAGAAAAACAGCATTATTGTCAGTCCATTACAGGTGGCTTCCCACCCAGGTGTGGGAGAAACTGAGTCCCATCTTTTTGCAACAGGAGCCGGTTGATGACCGGTAGACATTATGCTAGAAAACGAGATTACACATGAGGAACTCACTGTCTTGGAGGTGCTCACCTACTGAATGTGTCAGTGTCATTTCTGTTAACTTCTACCAAAGAGCTGTGGAGAAGAATTGATGTCACACTTCCCTAGTGCTTCCGGCACTGTGCCCTGCAACCCCAGTCCACCTCCATGCTCACAACCACCTAGTGTCGAGGTCCAGTTGTTGAAATGGAGGCTAACTAGAACATGTCCTCCCATGTCACACCTCCCGTGTCAGTGGCTCCTCTGGAAGTGAAACCCTGTGTTGGCCTCCAGAGCCTTATCTGTAACCTCTCCCCAGGAGGGTGCTGTCAGGCTGGCCTAGGACAGTTCTCTGCCTATGATTCGTTCTTTGAATAGTCTGTGGGAATTCAACAAGAGTGAACCGGGACAGGCCCTGGGGAAGGGAAGAAGTAAGAGTGGCAGAATTATACAGGCATAAAAATCTTACCTGGAAAGCCACTGTAAGTGGTCAGGGAGTACACACGTATGTTAAGCATCACTTGGAAATGCCTCCTGCATGAAAAGGAGCTGTGTATTCCCCAGACATTCCCTGCGAGGGCTCCTTCCAGTCTGAAGCATGTAATTTGGGACCAGGCTATGTGGACCCAGCGTGGAGCACAGGGCCAGAGATGCCTGCCTTTCCGTGGCTCCTGAAAGACCCAAACAAGTCCAGAGTATCAGGCCCGGGCACAGTTAGGAGGAGGATCTTACTCAAATGAAGCAGGAGTCAGGTTTAAAGGTCTTTGGTGCTAGTACTGCCAGTTTTGCTTGTCTCCTTTAATCTCCATATCCTAGAGTCGACAACACAGCCCCTCAGGAGCTTGTCTCAGCACTGCCAGCCTCTCCCATTGAGTGGCTTTGGTCAAGCTTCAGCAGGGAGTTCAAAGCTCTGTGTCCCAGCACTAACCCTTGAACACATTATTCTCCCTCTCTATATGTTTATCCATGTATGCAATGGAAGAGGTGACTATATCTCATGAGCGAAGTTACTTGGAGGTACTTGGCATAATACCTTGTAAGGTATAGTAAGCACTCAGTAAATGATAGCTGCTGTTACTAATGTGACTATTGGAGTATCACAATGGGGTGTGAAGAGCACATAGACAAGGTCAGGGCTCACGATGCTTGCAGCCATGTGGACATTTGACCTCATTTCCTTATCTTTAAAAAGCAGAATGCCATGCCAGTCTCTTGTGCTGTGGGGAAGAGTGGCAGGATAGATGAGAAAGGATTTTGAGGGCAGCTGATGGTCAGCTTCCCTCGTCCAGCTTCCTCCAGGTACTTGGCAGCTGGGGGCCTCAGTCCTGTCCCCCTCTGCCCTTCCACTCTGGAATGGTCACAGAAAAGCCCACGTTTATTCCAGTTCATCTTTTGTCCTCCTGGGCTCAGCGCACTTCTGTCTACCTGTGTGTCTCTGGTTTTGCCATTGTGGAGGTGCAGTGTCCTCCAAGGATAGCCCCCCCACCCCCTCTCACTGGCTAGACTTTAACACTATATCCTTGTCATTTTCCCAGAGGACAGCCCAACTCAGTGCTCTTTTCATTCCACACGATTACATGCTTTCTGTGTGTAAGTCTCTCACGCCAGATGCTAAGCTCTTTGAATGTAGTGACATTTTACCTTCTTTTATGTGTGCCTCTTGGCATTCATACTTGGCACATAGTAGGTGCTTAATGAGTGTTAACATTCTGCTGAAAGGTGAGTTGGCAAGTGGCTGAGGTGAGGACTGGCTGAAACTAACCACACACATGCCCGTACTTGGGAGCTAGGCCTGTCATCTGATTGGCTACTAGAGGTGAGTCTCTCAGCCTGCCGGTCTCCACTGAGACCAGGCCAAGCCCTGGACACTGAGCTACTGGGACATCATCAAATCCCCGTGATCTGAGAGGCATGGCCAAGGGGAAGGCTGCTCACCTCGTTGACAGTCTCCTCTGCCTGCAATTAAAAAAAAAAAAAAGCCCAAAGTAACGCTTTGTTTTGTTTACTGTTCTGACTTTAAAAGCTCTCGTGGGTGTCAGGGCTGCCAGTACCACCTTCGTCCCTCCGCACCCCTCCCCATGTTGCCCCCGTGTCTGAGGTGCCACTTTCAACTTTGCATTCTCCTTGCAGGTAATGATGTGGGTCCAGCGTCATCTTCAAGTAAAGCTGCGAACAAGTTTGAGGGGCTGTCTCAGCAGTCAAGGTAAGCTGCCCCAAGCGCTAGCTCATAGTTGCAGTGGACTAAGTTCTAGAAGTGGCTTTTAGTTGTTTTCCCAGCAATATTTGAAATGTGGTGAGCTGGCAGCACAGGTTATGGAAACTGAATGCTCACTGGGGTGGCATTGGGCTCCTGGGCTGCAATAAAGCGTCCTAGGCTGGCATAGGTCGGCCGTGGCCCCGCCTTGTCCACACAGTGACTGGCAGCAGAGCCTCCATTCCCTGCTGTCCAGTCAGGCCTACAGAGGTCTGGACCAAACTCTCATTAGGCCCTCAGAGTTCATTTGGTGTTGTAACGAAGTAACTGTTCTTTGTTCTTGGCCCTTTGAAAGAGTGAAAATGAAAAGGTACTCCTCGAGACAGTCCAGTGCCCTGGAGATCTCCAAAGAGACGTGGGAGGCTCTTCCTGGGTTCCCAGTTTGCAAGACGTTTGTGGCTGGGCGGAACAGTACTGTTTTCTCCCGTCCTTTCACTGAAATGGGGTGCCTTGGTAGACCTTCCTAGAGCAGTGTTCACAGAGCCCCCTCCCAGATGGCTTCCTGTGGAAGTGAGCTGAGATCCGGACCCAGAGCCACGTCTAGATACGAAATTTCAGCTGAGGGCAGGGTCAGAAGCTGATTTGTACAATCCATTGAAGATGTGAAAAGAAATTTTTTTTGATAGTACTAAGGTTTGGGGCCTTATCCTTATATTAGGCAGGTGTTCTACCACTTGAGCCATGCCTCCAGCCCTTTTTCATTTATTTTCCAGGTAGGGTCTCGTGCTTTTGTTTCTCAAATCCTCCTTCCTCCTCCTCCTGTATAGCAGGGATTGTAGGCATGAATCCTATTTCTAGCTTGTTTTATGAGATAGGTTCTCACTTTTTTTCCCAAGTTGGCCTCATGTTATGGTTCTTTCATCTCTGCCTCCCCATAGCTGGGGTTGGAGATGTGTACCACATCTAAACCTCCCCCCCCCCGACGCCTTTTTTTTTAATGCCACTATTTTGATCTGTATAGAGATACAGCAAACTACCGTGGTCTTCAGTTTCACAAGTGAGAAAACTAACCCCCAAAATGGTTTAGTGGCTGTCCAAGTTCTCTCTCCCTTCCTCCACACTCCATGTCCCAGGCTCCTTCATATACTCAGCCTGAGTTTGTTCTCAGTCTTCCAACCTGTCATGTGCACGCCTTCTCTTGCACTGTGGCTTCACCTCAGCAGCATTAAGGTCATCAGAAGCTGGGGGAAAGCAGGCAGAACCAGGCATCCCAGAGCCAAGCAGAAGACGAGCACACATGAGTCTCATCTCCCCTGAACTCTCGTGGGTTGGTTGATTGGGTGGTTTGGCTTGCTCTTTCCCACTCAAATGCAGTTAGCATAAAGAAGAACAAGTGCCATCTTTCAGGCAACCAGAGGCCCTAGATCATGGCATGGGCACTTGCTGCTTGTATTCCTTGTGTGCACAGCCTGGAGCCTCTGAGTGCTCTCCCGGCTCTCATTAACGGGACGGCATGACTTCTAGCTAGTTGATGCCGAGTTTGATTGTTCAGGAAGCATGGTACGCACTTCTGTGCCAGCGACTTGGGTGTTTTTTTCCCCTGCTTATTTACATGTCCTCCACAAGGAGGCCCCTGCCAAGAGCAAGCCTGGAGGCTTGTGAAAGCAAGCTGTAAGGTGAGGAGGAAGGAAGCACTCAGGGACCCACACAGCTTGATTTCACTTCCACCACTGAGCAGCCTGGAGACCCCTGCTGGCCAGCGATACTCCACACACCTCAGTTTCCCTGTCTGAAATGGGGTTTGGGGGCTGCTTTGTGGAGGGAGGGAGTATTCTACCCTACATAGGAGCCACAGTGCGCTGTGTGTACATTTTCACCTCTGGAAGGACCATGGTGTGGAATGCTTGACTTTATTGTTAATGGGAACTTTTTTTCTACACCCTTCCCCTGCATTTCTTCAGCAGTACAAACTGAAATACGGAAAGTAGACAGTGATCTTTTGTTTAAAAAAAAAACTGAGAGGAGTCTTTAGGTAATTCTATCAATGCCTTTGGGTTAGTTTAATCTCTGTTGGTATTGTAGCCCACTTAGATCCTAACTACTGTTGTTTATTAGCACCAGTTCTGCAAAGACGGCCCTTGGCCCCAGAGTTCTTCCCAAACTACCTCAGAAAGGTAAGACTGATCTTGTTCATGTTCACAGGTATCTAAATTGTGACCATATCTGCTGGGACAGGGATCTCTGTTGTTCACTCATCTTCCAAATGTCTAGAGGACTGCCAGGCATGTGGTGTGTGGTAGAGGCCCAGGAAGTAGCAGACAGCCACCCTATTTACAGATTTCTTACATGTGGTTTTGACCAAGCATGGTTAAAAACAATGTCTTTTAAATCAAAGGAAACTTTAAATTCACATACACACTGGCAGTAGAGCGCCATTGATGCAGCAAAGCTCCTGGCCCCACATTATTTCAGTTGTGTTTCAATTTGGGGGAGAAATACGTCTCCCAAAAATTAAACAATGTCCCAAAAGCAAGGTAAAAAAAAAAAAACCTTGTTAACATGTTTAAGTGATAAAGTAAAAATCTGAGGGGTGTTTTGAAAGGCAGGATGTCTTTTAGCAGAAGTGATGCTATGGGAAAATGAGTCAAGCATCTGAAGTACAGCACTGAATTCTGCCTCCTGATGCATGATTTTTCCTTAGCAGCTGTCTCCTTGGGACCATAGAGTCCTAGATATCGTGGGCCTATTGCATTTATAAACTCAAACATCTGTGAGTTGTAAGACATATTATTATGACCCCCAGGGACCATTCGTTCCCCTTTCTTAGTTTTGATCAGAGATTAGGAGCCAGTCTGAGCTCTTGGACTCACTTACTGTGATTTGGGGCAAGAGACCCAATTCCCCAGCTGAGAAGTGGGAAATCCTGCTGGCCCCATCAGGCTCTGTAAGCAGAGTGAAAGCGTGCTTCAGCAAACCCCTAGCAAGAGGGTAAGAGGGTGGCATCTGCCATGCAGAGTGGGGATGCCGGGCTCTGCCAAGCACATGAAAGCTTGTCTATAGACTGTTTCCCAGGCAGGCATTCCACTTTGAGCAGGTCTTTTGTCTTCCATAATCCTTCCAATACTGTTCAGCCTCCTAAAATTTTACCCTCCTTGTTACAATGTAAGTGATCGTATAGCCTGCTTACCTTTAGAGACACAGCTTCCCTTCAGAGACGCCTGTTTCACTCAGTCCTGTGTAAGATCTCAACGGACGTGCAGAGTGGCAGGGTAGCAAGGTGGGCAGTGCCATCAGCAGCAAGCCCTCTTAGTTGAAGTTCACCCTTCTCCAAACTCTTAGGTCAGGTGTTACCTCAGAAGTCTTAGGTGACATAGCGGAAGCCACAAGGTTGACCCACAACCCTTGACTGCTGAGTCTATCGGGCTGTGTTTTGTTGGTGGTAGTTTTTGATTGTTCTTTTGTTTGGGGCTTTGCAGGTGTGCGTGCGTGCGTGCGTGTGTGTGTGCGCGCGCGCGTGTGTGTGCGTGTGTGTGTGTGTGTGCTGGTCCTGGGGCTGGAACTCAGGGCCTAGGCTCTGTCCCTGAGCTGCTTTTGCTCAAGGACTCTACCACTTTTGCCACAGCTCCACTTCTGGCTTTTTAGTGGTTAATTGGAGATGAGTCTCACTGATTTTGCTGCCTGAGTTGGCTTCAAACTGCAATCCTTAGATCTCAGCCTCCTGAGTAGCTAGGATTATAGGTGTGAGCCACCAGCAAAAATAGCTCTGCTGCACCTCCCTGACAACTCACAACTTTAGGGTTTCTTCTCCTTTTTGTCTCCTCTGTCTTCTACAGATTGTTTTCTAAGTGTGTTCTGTTTTAAAGGTGAAGTTCTTTATTTGATTCACTCAGTACCCCTTGTATGGCCATTTCCTCCCTGAGTGTAAGCTAAGCGCTTGACCTCTGTACCCAGAACAAGAATTCTGAAATAAGGAATCTTGGCTCAAGGAACTCTGTTTAACAATAATGATAACTGTGCTCTTAGAGAATGTTTGCAGCCTGCCAGGTCCTGTCAGTGAATTCTTTACATAGCTTAATTCACGTAATTCTCATGACAGCCATTCAAGGAGAGTCTTAGAGATGAAGAGGCACAGAAAGGGTGTATAACATGCCCAACCGTCATACAGCTAATAAGAGGTTGAGCTAAACTGGTGTTGTCCTGAGTATCTAAAGTGTTCCTCTCCAGAGCTATAGACAAAGCGCTGTGAAAACTGTGAAAATGGTTCAACTTTGGCATTGTAGCATTGCCTACAGTCTGGTCTAGGATGCAGCTGGTAGAGAGAATGACAGGACTTAATGGATATGTTAAGCAGAGAACACAAGCCTTCAGATGGCCAGTGTCTGCATTGGTCTCATCGGCATGTGCATATAACTGCGAGGTGGGTGCATATCACTGCAGGGGGTGTTGGAAGAAGGTAGTTATTTCTTGCTGCGTGGATCATATAAAATGGGAAATACATTATGGTACAGCTGTAAAACTGGCTAGAAGACCCCTTCAGAATATCTCTTCTTCTGATAAGGAATTTTAAAGCATGGCAGATGCTTTTGCTAAACCAATTTGTAGAACAGAAATGTATCTGTAGGAAAATCAAGAATGAAACACAAAGGTGGTTTAAATGGCTACACAGAGGCTACAGGCTTATGGGAAAGCTTCGTTAGTATACTTTACAGTTCCCTGACTGCCCCCCCCCATTGTCTCCCACAGTGGCACTAAGGAAAACAGAAACGAGCCATCATCTCTCCCTGGACAAAGCCAATGTCCCACCTGAAATTTTTCAGAAGTCATCACAGTTGGCAGAGTTACCACAGAAGCCACCACCTGCAGACCTGCCCCCGAAGCCCACAGAACTGGCTCCCAAGCCCCAAATTGGAGATTTGCCACCTAAGCCCGGAGAACTGCCCCCCAAGCCACAGCTGGGCGACCTTCCACCGAAGCCCCAGCTCTCAGACTTACCTCCCAAACCACAGATGAAGGACCTGCCCCCCAAACCACAGCTGGGAGACCTGCTGGCCAAGTCACAGCCAGGTGACGTCTCCCCCAAGACACAGCAGCCCTCAGATGTCACTCAGAAATCACACCCAGGGGATCTGTCCCCACATGTGCAGTCCCGGGACGCCATCCAGAAACAAGCATCTGAAGACTCCAACGACCTCACACCCACTTTGCCAGAAACGCCGGTACCACTGCCCAGAAAGATCAACACGGTGGGTGGCACCAGGGCTCAGGCACTCTGACCCCTGTCTGCACATTTTCTTTTCTTCTCTTCATTTTCTTTCTTGTGTGCCAGTCGTGGTACTTGAACTCACAGCCTGTGTGCTGTCCCTGAGCTTTTTTCAAAGTTAGTGCTCTACCACATGAGCCACAGTTCCACTTCCTGTCTACACAGTTTCTTTTCTTTTGCAGCACTTGGGGGTCAAACCTAGAGCCTGTGTGTCCTAGGTAAGCTCTACCACTAAGCTGCCTCTCTGGGCTCTGCTGCAGTTTGAACATTGGCAGAAGGCCACTTGCTCCAGTTTACATGAGGAAATGGGCACTCCCTCACCCATCTGGCTGCATGTCCATGCTCTGCTTCAAGCACAAGGGTGGGACACAGCCTAGGGGTTAGTGATGCAGACTTTGCACTCCGACAGGCCTCAGACCTGGTTCAGGGCCTCATAGATTGCACACATGTGCATTGCACTCACCTCTGTGTCTGTGACTCATCCTCAGAGAAGCAGATAGACTACCAGACTTACAGAGGATAAAAGGCACGACCTTGGGGAAGAAACATTTTCTGGGATCCTAAGAAAGCAGTTTCCCAGCTCTGAGTTGTTTCTAACTCTCCTTCTCACTGAACCTTGCTGAAGGAACCAGGGGGAAAGCCCAGAGACCTCCACAGATAGAATTCTGTAACAAGTCTCCACATCCCATCACTGTCCTGAGACTCTCCTCATCCTCCAATGCCTCCCCTTTATCTTCATGTACAAGTGCTTTTTTTTTTAGCCTTTTTTCCTGGCAACCATTTTTAGAAACATGATGTTCCACAGAAATGGAACACTAGCCATCCTCCAGCCTCAGTTTCCTCAAGTATCAGGCAGAGCAAGAATGTCTACAGGCCCCAGACATGGCTGCACCCCATGAGGCAGGAATACCCCAAGTTAAGAGCACAATGAGGGGGCAAGCCAGACGTCCTATTACACAGGACAGCTCTATCTCTTATTATAAAACACGGCTACAACAGAAGTGTATCACATCAAAACCAAAGAAAGATAAACACAGTAAACCCTGTCCTCTTGTGCACTAGAGACCACCACGGCTAGTGCTAATCCAGTGATGCTGTTCTCAGGAGATCCTCCCTCGCCACACGGGCACCCAGCCTTTTTGTGTGTGCACAATTGCAGCTCATGCTGTGTGCATTCTACTCCTGTTTTCTTATCTAAGCCCACCATTGTAAATGAACACATCTGAGTCAGCAGGAGATGAAAATCTGCCGCTGCCACAGTTCTTCTGGGTTTCCCAGACCCCACAGGCTCCCCCCGGGAACTCGGGAGCTGAGATCAGCCAGGAGAAACTAGGGACAAAGAGGGACAGAACATGATTTTGTTAGCTGGTATTCCTAAGAAGGCACTGTTTCTGTGTGCATCTCCTTGTCTTCCAAGAACTGGAAGTCCAGCCAATAAAAACTGGTCACAAATTACAACTGTTTTGGGAATCATGCAGGACCTTCTGGTCCACCAACGCGTCCTGACCTGCTGTTTTGCATGAGGGAACAGAGAAATCTGTTTATGCTGCACATTCAACATGCACAGGCTGCACATTTTGCTTTTACATCATGTTTCCTAAAACCATTTTTAGACTCTGCTGTCATGTGTACAAGCTGAGGCTGGAGGGATGGGGGGAGGGGCGGGGGGAAGGGCTGTCCCCTGGAGGGGGACAAATCTGAGTTGTGATGCCACCGTCACTGGCTGCTCTGGAGCAAGCGAGCAGCACAGGCACCAGCGGATGCTGGGGAGGAAGAGGCTGTCAAACATCCTCCCCACACTTGCAGTCGAGGAAATCGGGGCTCAGCAAATTGCCGTCGCCTGCCTAAGGCCACCCACCATATAGAGTGCTTAGGTCTTTTCTCTATCAGTCTGTTCTCCCTGCTGAAATCCAGGTTTTTGCTGTTGTTCTTGTTGAAGGGGAAAAACAAAGTGAGGCGTGTGAAGACCATTTACGACTGCCAGGCAGACAACGATGACGAGCTCACGTTCATCGAGGGGGAAGTGATTGTTGTCACAGGGGAAGAGGACCAGGAGTGGTGGGTATGTACAGCACTGGCCCATTCGTCCAGCCAGCCAGCTTTTCCATGCGCCCTGGGTTCTCACCACCTGTTCATCCATCCTGCCAGCCTTTCCACACGCCCTGGTACCTCCTACTTCGGGTGCTGCAGATACCATGGGGAAGAGAGTCCTCTCAGGCATAGATCCTGCCAGCTACATCGCTTACCTAGGAGTTTGTCCTTTTCTGTCTCTGGTATGTGCTAGAAAAACGCAGCTATTTCTTGCACATAGCCAAGGGAGTTGACTTTTTTTGGTTTTGGTAGTATCAGAGTTGAGGCTCAGGAGCTTTGCGATCTATTCAGGCACCCTACCATTTGAACCACATCACCAGCCCTTTTTGCTCATTTTAGGGTCTTGCTGTTTTGTCTAGACTGGCCTAGACTGCAGTCCTACTACTTCCGTATAGCTAGAATGCTAAGGCACACACTACCACACCCAATTGTTCGTTGAGATAGGGATCTCACAATTATTTTTGCCCAGACTAGCCTCAAACCACAATCTTCCCAATCTCAGTTTCTTGAGTGGCTAAGATTACAGGCATGATCTACCGTGCATGCCTGGCTGAGAATTAACATTTACGTGAGTTTTTTTCCCCATGGTAGCCTATCATAATTTCATATGTTGAAGGTGTTACCTAATTTTTAAGATGCAAAATTCACTTTTCTTTTCCTTTTTTTTTTTTTTTTTGGTCAGTCGTGGGGCCTGAACTCTGGGCCTGGGCGGCGCTGTCCCTCAGCTCTTCAGCTCAAGGCTAGCACTCTACCACTTGAGCCACAGTGCCACTTGCGGCTTTTTCTGTTTATGTGGTGCTGAGGAATTGAACCCAGGGCCTCATGCATCTAAGGCACGCGCTCTACCACTGAGCCACCTTCCCAGCCAAAACTCCCTTTTCTTGAGCACATTGTCTGTGGCCGTGTAGTTAATAAGCATGTGAAGTGGAGACTCTTGAGTGGATCCTGGCCTGAAGACCTGTGTGCTCCACTCTTTCCACAGTGCTCCGCTTGTTCAGGCCAGAGTCGACCATGGAGGCTCAGCTGCTGAGCAATGCCGAGTGTGGCCCTGATGCCTTCCTCACATGATTTTACAAGATTAAGTGAAAATATCTTCACATCTCCCTTTATGTTCAAATCTGCCATCCAGATGTGAGGAAGGGACGGCCTTGCTGTCTCTCCACAGGGCAGCCAGGAGCCCAGCTGCCGAGGCGGGAACGCTTCCCCATGGGAGCTGCCCGGCAGCCAGAGCACCTTTCCCAGCGTTAGCATGGAGTTCTGTGTGGTGGCAGCCTGAGTCCCCTTGTCCCAAGAGAGGTCCGTGCTGTCCGCAGGCCAGAGTTGAGCAGAAGCATGTGTCCACTTGCAAAAGGCTTTCTTCCTTCAGGCCTATGGCTTAACAGGATTTGCTCACTGCTCCTCCAAGAGGAACTTCTCTCCCAGGACTAATAGCGGTATCTGGAGATACTTTTACTCTCAGGACTTGGGAAAAGTGAGGCCTTTGGCCTCTAGTGGGTAGAAGCTGGGGTGCAACTCTCACCATGCCATGTCAAGGGAGCCCCACCACAAACTGTCAGTAGTTCCAAGGTTGAGAACTAGGGCTGCAAGGGCAGAGCTGGCCAGCACTTCCTTTTTTCTTTTTTTCTTTTTTTTGCCAGTCCTGGGGTTTGAACTCAGGGCCTTGGTACCATCCCTAGGCTTCATTTTTATTCAAGGCTCACATCTACCACTCGAGCCATGGCACTACTTCCAGTTTTTTTCTGTGTACGTGGTACTGAGGAATCCAACCCAGGGCTTTATGCATGCAAGGCAAGTACTCTACCACTAAGCCACATTCCCAGCCCTGGCCAGCTCTTCTCCATTGGGCAGTGTGCTCAGGCAGGCAATAGTCTCTCTGGCTTCTGCCAGCAGAGTTGAGCTGCTTCCTGCAAGCACCTGCCAGCGAGCCTGCTTAGGACAGTGACAAGAGGCTGGACAAGAAGCACTTCCCAGTGACATCCATTACTCACTCTGTGGCCTTGATTCAGCATGTCCCTCTGTAAGCCGTTCCTGAGGAACACCTGAGACAGCCCCCACAGATGGCATCCCGCGCAGTGTGGTGCACGGCTGATGTCATTACGCTCAGCCAGTGATTTTTGTTACAGAGAAACCAATGGTTCCAGCTAAGACATCGGGGAGAAGAGCATTTCCCAGGAATCTATAGTACCAATCCCTGGGAAAGTTCTGCAGGCACAACGTGACAGAAATTGTCATCATGGGTCTGGGAAGGTGGCTCAGCGGTAGACCGCTTGCCTTGCATGCATGAGGCCCTGAGTTCGATTCCTCAGCACCACATAAGCAAAAAGAAAAAAGCTGGAAGTGGCACTGTGGCTCAAGCAGTAGAGCGCTAGCCTTGAGCTGAAGAGCTGAGGGACAGCGCCCAGGCCCAGAGTTCAGGCCCCACGACCGGACCCCCCCCAAAAAAAAAGAAATTGTCATCATGGTAACATTGATGTGTCACTGCATGATGCCAACAATGACCTCACAAGATGGCTAGACCAGGCCCTGGCACTTCCTACCTAAGAAACCATGAGTGTGGGTGGCTCTTATGAGCACAGCGCTAGGCTAGACAAGGCTCCTGTTCCCTTTGCTACCTTGTGGGGGGAGGAGGAGTTGTCCTGCTCTGAAGTCACCTCCTCTGAGTATTTGGCCTTTCAAGCCACTGCACGTGATTCTCTTGTTCCTTCACTTGAAGGTTCCTGTCTGGTATGATTCTTTTTAATGCAATTGACACTAATTTAATTGAGGTAGACATGATTTTTAAAACTTAAAGAAAAATCTTGGCTGGAGGCATGGCTTAAGTGGTAGAGCGCCAGCCTAGCAAATGCAAGACCCTGTGTTCAACTTTCTATACAAGGATTAGATAGAGGTAGCACACCAGTCAGGAGCCAAAAAAAAAAAATTTTTTTGCAGGTAACTGTAGCTTTGAGGCTACAAGCCACCATAAGACTCAAGAGAGTCCCAACAGCCTTTTGCTCCATATCCAGCAGAGTAAAATGTACAAAATGGTCCCTTCCATGTATTCATTTCTTCTGTTCTAATCGAATCACATAAGCCTTGAAAGAGTTGGGGGTTTTTGTTTGCTTTTTGTTTCATTTCGTTTTGCTAGTCCTGGGGCTTAAACTCAGGGCCTCTATCACCATTCCTGAGCTCCTTTTGCTCAAGGCTAGCACTCTATCACTTGAGCTACCACCACTCCACTTCTGGTTTTCTGTGATTAACTGGAGACAAGAGTCTCACGGACATGGCTACCCAGGTTGGCTTTGACCCACGATCTTCATACTTCAGCCTCCTGAAAAGCTAGGATTACAGGTAGTGAGCCACTGGCACCAGGAGAGTTGGAGTTTCTTAAAACCTATTTTACAAATAAGAGACATTTGTTAGAAGTCACCCTGCTGGAAAGGCAGCCTAGCCCAGACTGAGGAACCTGAAGCCCGGGCACCCTGGGCAGGTTCTCCTACCTCTCTGGGCTGCAGCGCAGGTGCAGTAGGGTCCGTGCTCAAGTGCTGAGCATCTTTGTAAACTCTGTCTGGCTACTTTGTGCTTGTTGCTCTGTTAAAGCATTGTCTGATCTGTGAGCTCTGTGAGCAGAAGTGAGCCTGGGCTCTGGACCGAGGTTGGGCCAGGCTGTCCCTCACTGCACTTGTCCAGGGCAGCAGCCTGCTGCCTCCAGCCTGACCAGTCTCTTTTCTCCCTGCAGATCGGGCACATCGAAGGACAGCCTGAGAGGAAGGGAGTCTTTCCGGTGTCCTTCGTTCACATCCTGTCTGACTAGCAAAAAAGCAGAACCTGAAGATGGTCCACGTCCTTCATGCAGACCTCTGCTTCCATGTAGTCCTGTGCACAACGTGTATATAGCTGCTGTTACAGAATAGGAAGCTTGTGGGAGGGCCACTCAGGAGGGAACAGAGTGTGAGTTGTAAATATCCTGTGGTCCCTGCCTTCACCAGTATTAGGGTAGCCTCGGGACCGGCATGCCTTACTGGTTTGCCAAAGCCATCCTTGGCATCTAGCACTTACATCTTTCTCTATGCCACTCTACAAGCAAAGAAAGAAAGAAAGCAGGAATGTGCGCTGGCTTTGTGAGTGCACATGGTCTCCAGCAACTGTTAAGGGTCCTAACAATGCAGTATTCTCCATGCTGTTACTGAAAAGACAGTGCTCGTAGAGGTGGGTTCTGGTGTCCAGCCTGTAGTCATCGCTGTCCACCGTTTACAGCTACCAAACCCACGCTGGTATTTATTACAGAGAAGCCCTTCGTTAAGTGTAAGTGTTACTCCTTCAGCAAAATACCCACTGACCCACGCTCCTCGTGCCACTTCGCACAAGTGGATTTCCGTGGTCTCCCGGTGATGAGTGCCCACCCTGGGATAATACCTCATGATGCAAAAACATACCCTTCATGACTATTTGGACAGAAGTTTAGAACCACGTCTGATGAAGTTCAACTTTCAGGAACCAAGGACTGTCAGAAAACATTAGCCTCTACATTATGCATGCATCTAGAAGCTTTCCTGAGATTCTGCCTTTTATAAAGGAATAAACAGTATGGATAAGATGAACTGTACATTTTTTAAACCTGATTGCCATTAAAGCAGAAATTCTAAGGTTGCCACAATTTTGTTTCCAGTCAGTCATTTGGCCTTGTCCGGCTTACATGTTGGCCTTTGAGTGAGTCAGCAGCCTGAAAAGGTGTTGAAGCATCTGAAGTGGTCGCTTTTAAATGGTTTTTGTTCTTGGATAAATGTAAACTTAAACGATTGTATGAAGAAGTTCAAAAGCCAACCCTTCCAGCATAGAATCCAGGTGCTGAAACCAAGCGTTTGTTTCTCCATTTTCTTCCTTAATCCCCGTTAGTGATGCTCTTCCTACCTTAAAGCGCTAGCCGGTGGGCTCGCCCACTTCTAGTCCATTCATATAACCAGGATTTGGAACGCTGCTATGAATTGCACTGTGAAAAAGATGTCTCCCTACAAGGAGTGTGTGGGATGTGTGTGTGTGGTGTGTCAGGTTAGGTTTTTGCTTCTGTGTTTTTTCATGCCCACCATACTCATCAGAGCATTAAGAACATTGCAATGTCCATCTTTTACGTGAGTCTGAATGTTGGAGAAATGTGGTCCTTGTGCCCCTCAGCCAGTGGCGCTTTGGTGACTCAAGGGCTCCTGTGTTTCTTGGGTCTTGCATTTGCATAGACTGGTGGTGGCAACAGCACAGAAGACGAGTATTTTTAAGCAGAGAATCTAGACAATGAAGGAGAAATGTTCATTTCACAGAAGCACAGTTGCCAACAGGACCCATGCGGAAGCTTCCTCCCCAGTCACGAGCACTCGGCAGGTATTAATCTAGTTCTGCTTCCTGTGGCCTCTCCAAAAACTGAGCAGCCAGGTAAAAAAAATACAGCTTGCGTGATGGGCCTATTCCATCAGCGCTGGCGTCAGTGCATGTGAGCATGCCTGCAACGAAGCCAGAGCCGAGCACCAGCCGCCTTGGGGTTGGAACCACACTAGGGTGCAGACAGGAGGTTGCGTCCACTTTGCCCAGCGGCCCAGCAGATTCATTCCAGTGTTTTTAAATTTTCGATCAAAGGCCATTCTTTTTTGTGGCCTAGACTCTTTTCAACAGATGTGGAAATAGCATGGGTTTAAAGAAAACCAAAACATCAGATCCCAAATTCCATGCGCGACCTCAGTTCTTGTCCCGTTGCCCCAGTCACACAGATGCAACTTTCATGCCTTTTTTTTTCTGCTTCAGTTTGTGTTTTGCATCAAGAATTGTGTCTTTTTCTTTCTGTCTGTCTCTAATCCAGCTTACTGTGGAACATAGGAACATAGGCCTTTGGCGATCTTGTTGAGTCTGAATCTGATCCTGTTCTTTAACTCAGTGAGCCACTATCTGCAGTTTTGTACATGATATAGTATTTTGAAGGTATGGAACCTTAAGAAAAAAAATAGCCAATTAGTTCTCCCCCTCCCCCTAGAAATGGAAAGTTATGTTTGGCAAATAGTGTGTGTCTTATTTTCCTGTTGAACAACAATTGCTATTTATTTTTTTATTGCCTAGAACTTCACCATGTTGTAAAGAACCCCGTAGTTAGTTGAATTCATCAAGCATCAGTACCTTTTTCATTTCACATGTATTTAATGTGACAGTTTTTCAGTACTGTATGTGTTAATTTCTACTTTTTTAATATTTAAAATTGCTTTTAAATAAACATACTCTCAGTTGATCCCAAACATCTGAAATCAGGCCATTTTGTGAGTTATCCACTCCTCTTCTGACTGGAAGATAAACCAAGACTTCATTGGCTTTGCTTTGGGGGGTTGGATAACACGAGTGAGCCTGGCGTGGCAAAAGCCCCTCCCCCAGCCTGCCCAGGACGCGCCTTGGAACTTGAGTCCCCTCTCCTTCCGCTGCACCTGCTTTTGCTCCCAGTCCTGGTGCCAGGTGCCTGTGCTAAATGTGCCAGCAGCAGGCCAGTGCCATGTTGCCCATCAGGTGGATGCGTTCTGCCAGGCAGTGGGGACCACACAGGTGCTCTGCCTCACTGGGCCAGTGCAGAGGTGAGGTGCAGATCCCTGCACTTAATGGAGATTCGCAACCAGAAAACCTCTGTCAGACTCTGTGCCAGGGTCTTGAGGTGTCCACACATGGGAGACTCAAAGAAGTGCAATGGTAGAAAGTGGGGGTGACCCCACACTGCATGGAGAAAGTGGGGGTGACCCCACACTGCATGGAACACTTACTGTAGAGGAGACTTGTGCCTTCACACCTGCTCTGTCCTCTCTGAGGCCAAAAGTATCAGCCACTTGGAAGAAATGCACCCACAAAGCCGCAGTGATCTGCTTGGGGCCACTTACGTTGACTCCAACGATAGCTCTGTCCCTCCCTACCCCTGCTTTTCCCCTCCCCAGAGAGTGTGTGTGTGTGTGTGTGTGTGTGTGTGTACATGTGCCAGTCTTGGGGCTTGAACTGGGCCTGGACTCTGCCCCTGAGCTTTTGTGCTCAAGGTTAACACTCTTACCACATGAGCCAGTCTTCCTAACATCTTCAGCTCTCAGTCTACTGAGTAGCTAAGATTATAGGCCTGAGCTAGCAACGTCCAGCCCCATTTATATCTGTAGTTCTAATCACTCTCCGGGCAGGAGTAGGGTATAGTCACATTTGTTAGTATAACTCAGCCTCTGTTGCTTCATTTCTCAGTAGTTCCATCCATCATGAATCTAAATCTGTTCTTGCCCCAACTTGGCAATACATGGGTTTTCTGAGTGAGTGGTTCACTTTAGGATGACAGTATAGTGCCAAGGGCAGTTCCTAAGGACTGAGCCCACATTGAGGGTCCCACCAAGATCTGGGGCATCCCATTTGGTGGCAATTCCAGGCTTAAGGGGCTGAGCCATGTGGTCCAGGTATAATAGGCCTGGCTGTGTACAGGATTTTCCTCAACCTGTGTTTAAGGCAGACTCCTGGGACCTTCCTGGGACTCAATCTCCAGGAACTCTGACCAGGTCTTTAATACTGAGGGGTTTGGGTTAACTTACCCAAACTCTGAAAACTTGGCCCTAGGGTATCTCCAAGCATGGGCACAGGTAACATGTGGGCTGCCTCTTGGTCTCAGATCCGCTTGAAGCTATCTGCTGAGCTGAGTTGGACCTGCAGAAGAGCGAAGCCCAAGGCTTCTTCTCATGGTGGTTTTGCATGTCAGTTTGGGCCTCCTGAGCCTCTGACGGGCGTTGGGGAGCAGCCCTAGTCTCCACTGTGTGGGTAATGTTTGCAGCACAGCTGTGTTTATCTGAGCTTCAGGAGCTTACCTGCTCTGTGTGTATACAGGCCGCTGTCCTCACAGACCCGGGCCCTCACCTCTGCCCTGTGTCCTGAGCACATCAGGACCCCCCACATCTGGCTCCCTAGTGCAGGCCCACGAAGTGCCCGCTGCGGGACCCCTCGGGCCAGGACTGTCACTTCTCTGAACTGGACATTTCATTTCCTGGTGTATTCTTCCCGCATGGCTGACCTGCTGGCAGAGGGTTGAGGAAGGCCAGCTTTGACTCAGTTTCTCTTCACAAAAGGTCATGACCGGGGCAGCACTAGGCCATGTGAGGGTTCAGATTTAGCTTCCACCATCACAAGAGGCTAGACTTTGACACATTACAGTTCAGCATCTGAGCAGTGGATCCTCATTCAGGAAATGAAGGGTGCTCACTTCCCCTTTCCCAGTCCTCCTGAGACCTCAGTTCAGATCAGGTTAGCTGTGGTCAGCTTTAGGGCCTGCTGCTCGGACAGGCAGGGCCAAGGCCTGGGAAACCTGTCTCCAGCACAGCACAGATGCCATCCTAAGCTTCAAGCAAAGGGCACAGATGGGAATTCAGGTGCCCTTTTTCACCCTAGCCTCTGCCACTTGGCAAATGGCCATGTGATCATGATCTATGCCTGAGACGTACGTGCTCAAACGTGAGCTCAAAGTGCTACCGCTCTGGTGACCCACTGGCTCTGTGTCCTGTCTCCCTCCTCTCCCCCCTCCCCGGCCCTCCCTCTGTGCAGTTCATCATGCTAGTCCTCTTAAGGTCTTTCTACCATGCTACTCCTTAGTGATTTCCACCCTCAAGGTGACTTTGTGAACCACAATGCATCCCTGCACACCAGCTTTCCCTGGGTTGAAGATGGAGCTCATTGGTGGTGCTTGTGCAAGGTGTTGAGTTCGGCCCTCAGCCCCAGTGATGATGGGGGAGGGGAGGGTGCAGGTCTCTAAGAAGCCAGAGAGCCAAACTCCCCAGATTTAGCCACTGGCTTCTTCAGTCTTACACACGCCAGGACACAGCCCTGCGTCACGTCTGATCACATCTCTGATCACCTGCAACACATCTTCTGCCAGGTCCTGAGTGGCAGTTTGGGCCTGGCTGGGCCAGCCATGGCCAGATCCAGCTGGATCAGGAGGTGCAGTCCTAAAGATGGCAAGATTAGGCTTTGAAATCAGAGAAGCACAGGCAATGAGCCTTCATCGCCCCAAACTTTGGTCCCTTTCTTTGCCTAAGTGGGAAAGTGGCTGGAGTGTCAGACTGTGTGAGACATAAATGAAATAATGAGGTGCATACCAGGGGCTTCACTTAATCTTGACCCTGGAGCAGACAGTAATCAAGGTCACCACTCATCCTTCAAGAATGTCCAGAACTGCCAGGCACTAGCGGCTCATGCCTGTAATCCTAGCTACTCAGGAGGCTAAGATGGGGAAATAACGGCTTGAAGCCAGCCTGGGCAGGAAAGTTGATGAAAGGCCAATTAACCAGCAATAAAGGCAGACATAGAGCTGTGGACCAAGTGGAAGAGCACCATCCTTGAGTGAAAAAGCTGAAAGGCAGTGTCCAGGCCCTGAGTTCAAGCTTCAGAATGAGTACACACACACACACACACACACACACACATGTTTGCTGTCAGCTGAATATCTGGCTGTCCTTTCCGGGGAAGTGACTGTGGGCCTCAGAGGGAGCAGGGCGGGGGGCCTGGGCCCTGAGCAGCGTGTCTGAAGGCTCAGAACCCCACTTCCTGTGGGAACAGCCCTGTGCAAGCACACGGCATGCCCTTGAAGTGCGAGCGTGAACTTAGAAATAAAAACGAAACCGCTCC